TGCTAGACCACTATTTTTTTTAAAATAATTTTTTGACTTAATCATTGAAGAAGAATAAAAGAAGAAAAAACCCAATTTGGGTTTTATGAAAAAAAATAAAAAAAATTTAAAGATATTCAATTTCTCAAATGATTTACAAATAAATTGCACCCACATTTCTCATAATTTCAATTTTTCGTACACAATATCATAAGTTTTTTTTTTAATTTCTCAATTAACTCCATATAGATAAGTTTTATTTGAGATTATATCGTTAATTTCATACTTAAAGGTATTTTGATAAATTTACTTGATAAAATTAACGATAAAGGTTAATATGAAAAAAGTCAAAACCACGTGAGATGTAACGAAATTTATCCATATTTTAATAAGATATAGTTTGGAAAAAATTAATGTCATCCTAGTTTAAATATTAGTTTCTTTTGCTAAATCTCACATCAACATGTGATATACTATTAAGAAAAGAAGGTGGATGCTATTTTCTTTTCCTATCATAATTTTAAGTCTTGCTTAATCAAGCATTTCCTATTCAGTGAAAAATTAAAATTACAACCCAAAAAGGTAAATTTTCTGTTTTAGTATCTATAATGGAAAATTTTTCCTTAAAAACTCTTTTAATATTTCATTCACACAGTCAAAATTGAATTAACTCAATTGAATTAACCTTAACATTGTCGTATATATCTAATAATTTTTTTAAAATTAAATTATCTTTTATCATAAGTTCTGATTAGCTTTTTTTTTTTGCTTTTGGGACTTTCTTTTATAAAGTCATATGGTTCGCATTTATCTTTCACCTATTTATAACTTGTAGACAAAAACATATTCTTACAAGGCAAGATTCACAATGCAAATTGATTGAAAGCAATCAAAACCATAAAAGAGATTAAAATCACTATTTTTCAAAATAATCTCAAGTGGTAGAAGAAAAAACAAAAGAAACATAGGTTAGGCTAGGTACCAAATTTTCATGGAGTGCTTTTTCTATAGGAAAAAAAATAAAGGATAAGAGGAAAAAACCACATGGCTTTACTAACTTGGATGGGATATTTTGGATGCTTCCAAGGAGAGATGCAAGTGTAACATCACCCTGAAGATGGTATTGGAAATTTCTTGTCTATTTAAATTTTTGTAACATATAAGGGAAATTGAGCATCCTTCTGAAAAATGAAAAATTAATGAAGGCAATGGCGGAAAGAAATTAATTTTTAAATTTTATTTTTTTATTATAATATGTATAAAATTTAAAATATATAACATATAATTTTATATAATTACTCTTTAATTATTTTTTTATGTAAAATTTTAAATTCATCATTAAATGCAAAGGGAATAAAAGTAAGTAATGTTATATATCATGTTTCTATAAGTAAAATAGAAAATTCGATCAATCTTCATAACTATTAAAATAATAAAATTTCATATTTTTTTAATAAATAATCTTAAATTACATGTATAAAGATAGATTATTTTAATCGTTTCTTCGTTCTCACATCAACAATAACACAACAATAACTCTGTTTCTAATCAAAAGCGGTCGAAGAATGATAACTCTGTGCAGATAGCAAGTTTCCCTAAAACCACTTTCCAGCCCCATCTTCTCTTCTATTTAACAAGTTTCCCTAAAACCTCCTTCTACCTCCATTTTCCTTTCTATACTTGGAATTGATAATTAGATTTGTGGAATTGATAATTGGAGGTAAAAAGAAGAGAGATTTCAACCTTTTCCTCGTAATTTTGACATACAGAAACTACTTAGGTCGATCAATTAAATAATCAATAATATTTTTTTAAATAATTAAAATTTTATTATTGAAAAAGCATGTATATTCTGTTAAAAATAAATAAATTTAATTTACTAATTTTTTATATTTTTTAAAAATGAAAAAAAATGAAGGTAAGTTTTCTCCAATAACTCATAATGTAGTTAAATTATAATAATTTTTTTGTTTTTCATAATATATAAAAAAAGAACAAGATATCCTTGATTAGTAATGTATAAACTATTAGTATATATAGGGTAATATTCACAAAATTCATATGCATCATATAGTTATATTTTTTTCATTCAAATTACATGGAGTAAATTGTAGGGAAAAGAGAAAATTAAAATGTAAATATCATGACATTATTATTTAAATATAAAATATGAATTTTATATATTTTCATTGCATTTATTTTATTAATTAATAAACGTAAGTAATATAATGATATAAACTTTAACGACGTCGCTGGTTTTTCAATGGACGAAGTAATGACAGCCGCAGGTACATCTGCAAGGTTTCGATCGGCGTGATCTCCGCCTTCCATTGTCTCTTCCAACGTCCCTCTCCTCTCTGCTGTCCTTGCCTTTGCTCTCGCTCAGTTCCTCAATCTTTTCACCACCTGGTATTTTCCCCTTATCTTTTTTTTTTCTTTTTTCCTCGTTATTTTTTTTCTGTTTGATCGATTAAAAACGAGGTGAAAGAAGAAAAACAGGACAACCCATTTCTTAAAATGGAGTTTTAACTTTGAATTTTCATTTTTTTGTGTTGGTTGTTGGGTGGATTGGAATGGGTAACTTTTAGTTTGCATAAAGTTATGAATGTTTTAATATCATTCTTAATTGGTTTAGACTGTTATTTGTAGATTGATGAGTGATCAAAGTAAAGAAAAAAATGTTTATTATAGGCTGCTAATAGATTGTAAATGACTAATTGTTCTATTAGGGATTGTTATTGACATGTTAAAGATGAATGCAATGTTCTTTATATTGTTTCCCAGCCATTTTTGTATGGCCTTGGCAGCATTGGTACTTTCTTTGTTTACCCACCTTGTTCCTTTGATTTCGGGTTCGGGTTTTTGCCGGGTCCATGTTAGGATGGATTGTAGCATTCCTCATGAGAACTTCGAGTTAGGATTTGACATGGAAAATCGCAGTTACTGATAATTATGTCGCGAGTGCTTTAGCTTATGCCAAGAAGAATCAGACCAGACGATTTGGCTACGTTCAACCAGTGTGGAAGTTCTAATGTTGTAATTGCTTGGGATTTTTGCGTTGTAGCTTAAGCAATTGTAAATTATACTACCATACTTCTTAGTTTCTCCTATCTTCTTTTTTCATTAATCTGTATATTAGGAAGAGATGCAAGTCTAATGTCATGGCAATGACATTGGAAATTTCTTGCCAACTTAAATTTTTGTAGCATATAATGCAAATTAGCAACAAATTGAACACTCTTTTGAAAGATGAAAAAAAAAAGCTGAGGAGATCCTTAATTTTAATTTTCCTTTCCTGCCATAATTGTAAGTTTGCTTAATCAAGCATTTTCTATTTAGTAAAAGATTAAAATTACAACAAAAAAATAAATAAATTTTCTGTTTTTATATCTATAATAAAAAGTTTTTTCTTTAAAAACTTCTCTATATATATATTTATATATATCATTCAGATAGTCGAAATTGAATTAACTCTATCAAATTAACTTTAACATTGTCCAATATGATTAGTTACATAGAGGATATATCTAATAATTTTTTTGAAATTAAATTATCTTTTATCACAAGTTTTGATTAGTTTTTTCTATTTTTTGGAATTTCTTATATAAAGTTATATGGTTCTTATTTGTTAGTCACCTATCTATAACTTGTAGACAAAAATATATTCTTATAAGGCAAGATTCACATTACAAATTGATTGAAAGCAATCAAAACTATAAAAGAGACTACAATCACTATTTTTCACAAGAATCTCAAATAGTAGAAGAAAAAAACAATAGAAACCATTGGTGATAAGTTAGGTGTAGAGGATGAGAAGTGAAAAACCATATGGGTTAGATGGGATATTTTGGATGCTCCCAAGGAAAGATGCAAACTCTAACACCACCAATACAATGATATTGGAAATTTCTTGCCCATTTAAATTTTTGCAACATATAATGCAAATTTAACACTCTTTAAAAAAAAATAATTTAATGGAGGACACTGTCTAAGAAATGAATTAATTTAGTGGACGCGGTAAGGCCATAACGAAAGGAAATAATGAAAGGGTGGTGGATGTTATTTTTTAATTTTATTATTATATATATAATTTGAGATATATAAAGGATAAATTTATATGATTATTCTTTAATCGTCATTTAGATAAAATTCTAGATTTGTTATTAAAGAGAGGATAAAATTCACAAACATAATATTTCTATAAATAAAATGAACAAAATTGATTTTTTTAATTATTAAAATTATAAAATTTACTTTTTTTTGGATGATATGGTGTTATATTACATAAATTATTTTGATATTTTTTCATTTCCTGTCCACAATAACTCTATCCCGTTTGAATCAAGAGCTGTCTCCACCAAATACAAAGAATGAGATAACAAAATTTTTTAAAACCATCTTGGCTCTTTCATATACTCTTTCATTTTGATAATTGATAATCAGAGAGAGAAAGAAAAGAACTTTCAGCCTTTCACTTAGAATTTTGACAGTGAGTAATTTAGCTCAGTCAATCTGATAATCCATAATATTTTTTTTGGATAATCAAAATTGAATTAATCAAAAAGCATGTATATCCTGTTTAAAAAATTCAATAAATTCAATTTACTAATTTTTTAATATTTTTAAAAATTAAAAAAAATAAAGGTAAGTTTTCTCCAATAACTCAAAATGTAATTAACTTATAATATTTTTATTATTATTAATAATATCGAAGAAAATGAATTAATCGATAATGTATAAAGTATTAGTATATATAGTGTAATATTGACAAAATTCATATGCATCATATAGTTACATTTTTTTTCATTCAAATTTCATGCAGTGAATTGTGAGTGAAAGAGAAAATTAAAATGAAAATATAATGATATTATTATTTAAATATAAAAATATGAATTTTATTTTATTAATTAAGAAAAACTAGTAATATAATAATATTAAAATAATTAAACTTTATCCGAAACTGGCTTTAACAAAGGTTCTTTCTCTCTGCTCTTGTCCTTCACGACATCGCCGGTTTTTCAATGGACGAAGTAATGACAGCCGCAGATGCCTCGGCAAGGTTTCGATCGGCGTCATCTCCGCCGTCCATTTTCCCTTCCAACGTCCCTCTCCTCTCCGCTTTCCTTGCCTTCGCTCTCGCTCAGTTCCTCAAGCTCTTCACCACCTGGTATTTTCCCCTTATCCCTTTTTATTCTTCTTTTCTCATTTTTTTTCTGCTTGATCGATTAAAAATGAGGTGAAAGAAGAAAAGCAGGACAACCCATCTCTTAAAAAGCAGTTTTAATTTTGACTTTTCATTTTTTTTTGTTGGTTGTTGGGTCGATTGGAATGGGTAAGTTTTAGTTTGGATAAAGGTATGAATGCCTTAATATCTTTTATAATTGTTTTGAATTGTTATTTGTAGATTAATGAGTGATCAAAGTAAAGAAAAAATGTTTATTATAGGCTGCTAATAGATTGTAAATGACTAATTGTTCTATTAGGGATTTTTATCGACAGGTTAAAGATGAGTGCAATGTTCTTTATATTGTTTTCCAGCTAATTTTGTATTGCCTTGGCAGCATTGATACTTCACTTTTTGGATGGAAATTGGAAATAATAAGTAGTTGAGAATCATTAATGAGTGTTGAAATACAAGTAATCTTTTGTCCGTACACTTGCATCTTGCTTTTATGATCAGGATGACCTTATAATTTTAGAAAAAAATGTCTCATCTACTCATTTGTTGTTGTCAGTCTTTTTGTTTGTGTGTGTTTTCTCTCTCAGTGTTTCAATATATTCTCTTAGACATGCAGGTTCAAGGAGAAGAGATGGGATACTAAAAGGATGCTTGGGTCAGGTGGAATGCCGTCTTCTCATTCAGCAACCGTGACTGCTCTTGCAGTTGCCGTTGGTTTGCAGGAAGGAATTGGAGGATCAGCATTTGCTGTTGCACTTGTTTTGGCATGTGTTGTATGTACTTGCTAACCATGTCTATTTGCTATTATTAATACATTACTGTTCTGGTTGCCTTGGTTAACATTTTTGGTTTCTTGGCAGGTGATGTATGATGCTACTGGAGTAAGACTCCATGCTGGTCGCCAAGCTGAAGTAAGCTTGTTTCTTGTAATCTGTGTTACTGTTTTTTTTTTAATGGATTGTACTTCATTGTGAAGATTATTGGAAGCAAGCTGCTCAAGTATGGTAAGAGACCGTTGGTTCTCTGAAGTATTCTATATGCCCCATTGAGTTCTAGCTCAGTGCTAGTCATCCACTCCTTTCAGTCTATATCTGGTCACTCTGTTAAATAGTTGCCATTGAATCCTTTTCTTTTCTCTGATTGACAGATCCTCCTCATTCTCTTACGTTAGTGTATGAATTGCCAATATCTTTACAGAATTGTTATTCATGCATTGATTATAAAACTTATCCATCTTTACAGAGTTGTTATTCATTGCATTTGTTATATATAAATTTTATATATCTTTTGGTATTTAGTACCCAATGTGTCTGGGGCATGCCATGCCATGCATGTGAGTCTTATCTGTATTTATTCCAGAATATGGCTGACATGGATAAAATTCCTTTTAAGTTTGCACAAATTTTATGAAGGGAGACATGGTATTTTAGGATAGTATGCATATGGATTCATCAATGAAAGAATCACTAATGTTCTTATTCCTGTGCCTTGTTCCATAATAACATTAGAAGTTCTGCAGTTCTACGAACTTCCAAGTAGCCTGTTATGTGGCTAGCTAATTTGATTTGTTCAATGGTGCTTTTTATCAGTACATACTGACCCCTTTATGTTGTTTTAATTGATGGTATAATCATGTATCTTTCTGCAGTTACTCAATCAAATTGTATGTGAGCTACCTCCTGAGCATCCTGTCTCCAATGTCCGACCCCTACGAGATTCACTTGGTCACACACCCCTTCAGGTATGAGGCTTTCAATAATAGACATTGTGCTATGAAACGTTGGATCTACCTGCTAGTTTGAAATGATGGTCGTTAAAGAAAGGGGTGGGCTTTATATTGTAGATGTCATACGGTGAACAGATGATATAATTGTTTCAAACATGAGAACAAATGGTTATGGTCATCTGGTAGAACATGCTACATAGTGAATCTTGTTTGATCTAAAAGGAGTTTGATGTTGTTTCTTTGTTTACCTACCTTGTTCCTTTGATTTTGGTTTCAGGTTCTTGCCGGGTCCATATTAGGATGCATTGTAGCATTCCTCATGAGAACTTCGAGTTAGGATTCGACATGGAAAATCACAGTTACTGATAATAATGTCGTGAGTGCTCATGCTTATGCCGAGAAGAATCAGACCAGACGATTTTGTGACGTTCAACCAGTGTGGAAGTTCTGGTATTGTAATGGCTTGGGATTTTTGCCTTGTGGCTTAAGCAATTGTAAATTATACTACCATACTTCATAGTTTCCCTACCCTCTCCTTTTATTAATCTGTATATTATGTTCTAAGATTAGGTAGTGAAAACTTTATTAAATTAAATATATCAAATTTTATTTGTTGGGATATTTTCTTTCGAATTAACTTTTTTATCGTTTTATAGTAACTTTATTAAATGAAATCATATTTATATGCGCTTATTATCATAATGAAAAAATTGATGTAAAAATTGTTCGAATCAATGGAATTAAGTCCATTAACGTAGGAAATTGTCTTATGATTTCAAAAATCGTAAGACAATAAAGATCGTAAGATGACTTTTCAAGATTGAACCTTCCACCCTTTCTTTTTCTTCTTCACTAGTTTTTCGATTTTCTACATTCAAAAATTTTTTTAACATAAATTATAACAGAAAATATCTTTTATAAGATAATTTAAATAATTTGAAATATTAAATTTTTTAATAAAATACTTTTAATAGAAAATATTTTCTTTTAGTGAGTTATTTTCTCAATAAAAATATGTTTCTCGCAAAAATGTCTGAAGTGCTCATCAATGACGTCGTTCAATGCTCCCCACGAAAACCATTCCCTCTCTCTTTTTCAAATTTCTCGGTCTCGTAATGGAGGAAGCGCTAAGCCCGAGGCAAAGGGCACCAGTGTTAAACCGTCTCCAGTCACCTACCAGTTCGTTCTTCTTAGGCTCCAACAACGACCAACTCGAACGTGCCCAGGCACGCGCCGCCGCACGTGCTGCCGCAGTCCGTCGCTGTCTCACCGTTGTGCCTCCCCCTGCTCCTCCTCCTCCTTCCGATCCTTGCCTTAGCAAAGACCAGATCATCGAGTTGTTCCAAAACTGCATTAAACTCGCTAGCGAAAATGTAAACAAGTTCATTTCTATTCATTTAATACATTCTCCAAAAGTTTCTTAATCGAAAATATCGATACTACTTGTTTCCGCTTATATATAAATTTTACTATTGATTATTGTAAGTAAAGTTTTGATACTTGTTTGGCAGCCGGGAAAATGATAGAAAAAAAGTATTAGTAATTAGTTTTTAATCTTTGAGGATATTTAAATGTTAGCAGTAAAAAGTTGTTGCTCTTTTTCTTTTGGTGTAGAAAATAAACCAGAAGAATACTTGGGAATTGAAGCTTATCGATCATCTTAGCGAGATCATAAAAGTAGAAGCAGCTGAAGGTGATTCAGAGACTAATTTCCAAAAGGTTCAGATTACTTTATGCAAAGTGTTGTTAATTGCAGTCATGTCATATGATAATGATATGCAAACTTTTGTATTTTGAGTGCTGATGGAGTTCTTAATGGCCAGGCAAGTTGCACATTGGAAGCAGGGGTGAAAATTTACTCTTTCAGGGTCGATGCTGTGCATGCTGAGGCGTATAAGGTCCTTGGTGGTATCCATCGAGCTGGCCAAGAAGATGAACAAGGTATAAATTGTTTTGATTGTGTTTTAAGTGGAGTTCTTATTGGAACATTCTTTGCATGGTTGTAATGTGTCCTGTTATGTTTGTTATAGTCAGTGCCTCCTAAATTGCGTTTTATTCTAGTTGGAGTTTGTAAACCCTGGTAAATTTTTTTTCCTATGTTTCTTGGTGTCCGTTTTGAAGGAACGTGCTGCAACAATAATGAAAGAAGTAAATATGGAAGAGTGCTACATCAACTTTCTATTATGTGTATATTGTTTAGAATTTAAACAAGCTTTGTTTAGTATTATTCTTTAAGAACTTACAGCGTTTTGTTGCACAGAGGGACCTTCGCTTTGGTCAGTTCCCTAACATAGTGCTTTGGTGACAGAGACTATCGTGGTGGGTGACAACGTAAATAACAGGGAGGAGAGCTGTTGTAACAAGAAAGAGTCTGAGAGGAAGGTTGAATAGTGTTTTAGTTCATTGACTGAATTAACCAATTGAACACAGACTGACCTAAGTGATTTGTGCAGATCTCGCCAGTATCAACACTGGAGTCTTCTTTTGAAGCTCTTAATGCCAAAAAGTTTGATGGTAAGTGTATCTATTTTCCTTCTGGTCATTGTTTTGTTTTCCTCCCTAATTTGTTGACTCTTCTCTTTTTTCCTGGTTTTGTAGTTGCATTCGCAGTGGATCCTCTATATCACCAAACATCTGCACAATTTGATGAAGGTGGAGCAAAAGGTCTTCTATTAAATAATCTTGGTGTGTATGAAGGTTGTAGGGTACTTTTTGATTCTTTTGAAGTGCCTGGGAAGTGCCAATCAGGTGCACTTCACAACAATAACTTGGACATTATTGATATCTCATTTGCCAGAGGTGTGTTTCATTGCTGATAAACATATTCCTACTCAATTTTCATTTTTAGAAGTCGTATGCCTAAAAGTTAGAAGTTGGATGTGATTTTCATTTTCTTTTCTGCATGTTACATCCATTTGCTTGCTTTGTTTGCAGAATCTGTTGAGAAGATGGTCGTAAACATGCTGGCAAAGAATGAAATTTGTCCAACCCTAAAAGTCATTGTTTGTCATTTTGATGAAGATAATCAAAGGTCATCTGAGACATTTGATGTAGGCCAAAAATGTGATATCAGAGTAGACACAGCTAATGCTTATGAAGCTGAATCGGATGATACCTTACTTGAGAATTATGATGCATGTATCTTTGATCATGATGAGGTGTCAAGTGGTGTTAATGAGGGCTCCAATTTTGATCGTACCATTCATGACTGCCATGAGGTAGTTTGTCCTATCTTTTTTGTCACTTAAATAGTACATACCGTTTTCCTTGAATCTCTTCTCTTTGTTCTAGCCACTTAGTGAAACAAATAAGAAGATGACATGAGAGATCACTCAAATCTGATTGGTTTATAATATAGGAGAATGATACTTATGCTTCTTACGAACCTGATCTCGGGGACAGATTTGAGGATATTGGGAAGTTTTTGTTCCAAGGGCTGGGATTTACTTCAAAACAGAATGCATGGGCGGGTCCTAATCACTGGAAATATCAGAATTGCAAAGGTTGTTGTCACCAGGGAGGTGACATTATTCATTCCTCTTCTGAGCTGCAGTCATCCATTAGTTTGCCTACCAGTCCAGTGTCTGTCTTGTAGGTTCAGAGGATATTCCTGCCACAAATGCTGAATCAAAAAGCAAAAACCTGAAAGAAGTTGATGTTGATTTCACAAAAAGCTTGGACAAAGAAATGCCTGATGTCTTTGCTCCCCCCAAAAGTCCAACGCTTTTGCTGCTACCTGCAAATAGAGTACCATGTAACAACACACTTCCAGAAGATTGCCATTACCAACCTGAAAGTCTTGTCAAGTTGTTTCTTCTACCTAAAATTATGGTAATGTAGATTCAATAATTTTTTTCTTTTGCTTTATTTTAAAAGAAGTAAAATGTATCCATTGAAGCTTAATTAATTACTCATCAGAAGGGCCAACCAATACCATCTGGCTGGTTTGGGCATCAAGCTCATCTAAGTCAGTCAACCTCATTTCAAGGACATAGATTGAGAGTTTAATCTAATTGAAAAACTCCATACTCAAACCTCAGGCTGCATATGGCTTTGGTTGACTTCAACATTCAATGTTCGCTGATGTTAAATTATCACTCTGATTTGGCAAGTTTTTTTTCCCTTGTTAACCATTAATTATTTGTGGATGATCAATGACTTATAAAAACTATTTTGATTCTAGTGTCTGGGCAAGAGAAGAAGAAAATGTTCAGGTATGATCTTTCTCTAGGAAACATATGCTTGCTATCTTTTAGGATTTATTGATGTTAATTGTTATGATAAGTATATCTCCTGTAATGAATTTGTGATATAGAAAATGAGTGAGCAAATATTGCAGATAGAATAGTCCTATAGAAAATAAAGTGTTGTGAATCAAGTTAAAGACTTTGATGACACAATGACTGACAGTCCTTTCCAAATTCCTTTTGGCCGTAACATATTTGTAATTTTCAGTTCCCTTCATTGTCGTTAAAGCAACTGGTTGCATGCTTTGTGTTCTTTCATTTTATGTTTCATAAGCACTGTCTTGGTTTTCTTTACCAGATAATAGTGCATGTCAACAAAATAATGATTTTGATCAAGCACTGCCATCATGGGATAATGAGAGCTCACTTGGTGGTCAGTTCAATGATGGATGTGTTTATGATGATGTGGGAAACTTGGATGACCTTGTCTCTCAGCCTCGCCAGGTTTGTATGGTCTTACAAGTAGACCCTTTTTTGCCCTTTATTTGATTTTGAAATCAATCCTTGCTGTGTGCCAAGTGGTTTGTAAACTAGGCTGGTTTCTTTTATTTCAACTGTATTATATAATAAAAATGATTGTAATGGAGATGAAAGAAGTTTTCCCTAGAGATCAACAATGAGGAAATATGGTTTTAAATTTGGGTAACGGAATTAAAGTTACCTTCACTAGCAGTATCATTTGTGTCCCTTACTGTTTTGAAAAGAAAAAGAGAAAGAACTAAATAACGCATTAGGAAGATGCAAATATTAACATTACTGAATGCTAGACTTTTGCTATTACCTTTACTAGATCTTATGCACATAATCCCCTTTTTGAAACTTTCAGCTCTGTAAAATGAGTCAACTTATTTGCTTTTCTTTTCTTTTTGTCCGTATTATTTTGCTTGCAACAAAATATCCAGGTGAAGTGTTTATGCAGCTTTTTGCTTGACCTCACTTTTTAGGTAAATCAAATTGAAGTTCAGTGTGACAAAACTTCTAAACAAGTTGATGTGCATGCATTAAAGGAGTCACTCTGGGATCACATGCAAGGATCTCATGAAGTAGCTGAAGTGGTGAGCATTGTGTGTTCATTTTCATTATTATCGAGTGTCAAGTTCAAAAGGTTGAAATAACATGCATAATTTTACAACAGATTCTTTTATTATCAACAGGTGGACAAAGATGCATTGTCTTTCAAACATGTGCTTGCTACATTTTCCTTCAATTGCCAAGCTGCAGCTTCAGAGGATATTTCACCCCATTTGTGTTTCATTTGTCTGTTGCATTTAGCTAATGATCATGGTTTAAGCATCCAAGATTGTCCCAGTTTAGATGATCTCAGTATACATCTTCCTGCTTCTTGGCAAAGCACAGATTCTGTGGCATAGGCTTCATCATGGCCTAGAGCCCATCTTTAGGTACATGAATTTATCAGGGGGTAGCATGGTTCTCTTTATACCAAGTTTTTTAGGCCTATATGCTATAAAGCAATGGAACTAGAACAGAAAGAAGAAAACGTAAGTAAAACATTCTTGTATCATATTGGTCACTGCATGCTATTGTGTCATCTTATGTGCCCGACTGTTTATACATATTATGCGAATATAATCTTGAATTAAAGTTACAAAACTCACTTTCTCCAAGTGATCAGTAAGGAATCCATGGAATCAGTCAAGTTATTTTGTTTCAAATAACATTTTTATCTGTTACATGTAGAAGATAGCTCTACCGTATTGACATTATGCAGACTCTTGAATTCGTCCAGGTACCGAAATCTGACTCTTATGAATAGAATGTGATAGTTGTGTGTTGTTTAAGCAACCTTCTCAGTCATCTTATATTGGAAATGGCATCTCTCGAATTTTCTACGATATCTGTATGTAGGATGATATAGATGGATACTACTGAATACAAATTTGAGAATACAACATGTGACTATTTACAGTAGGATGAGGATTGTTCATTATTTAGGTTCAAGGTCCAGGTTCAACCACTCATTAGAAAGATGCCAAAGCAAATACTATCATTTTCTAGGAGAGAATATGGAAAACACACCTTAGCAAGTGCACATGGATTAGCTTTACAGTGTGATCATTTGCGGAAAGAGATTAGCTGTATCGGCCTTTGTTTATCGAAAAAAAAAAAAATCAGTATTAGTTGGCTTTTAGAATTGAGGATAAGGAATCTCTCTCTCCTTTTGTTGGCAAAAGTTGCTTCTTTTAAGATTTGCCTGTTTAAGGTTTATGATCTGTCTAAAGACTTTAAAGTTAATCCTACTTATGTATAGAATGAGGCAGAGAAATCCCAGTATAGATAACTTTAGGCTAAAAGATTTTCATAGGTTTCTTAGGGAATGTTTGGCAGTTAAAGATTAATTGACCTTGATCGTCCATAAAATTATTATTGTCATTATTATTTATTCAGAAAAAGAAGATTCAAATTTAACTCTTTATATAATAGTTTTACGTGTTCATTATTAAACTAAATACCTAATACTCGTGTTGACGGATCTGATGGGTTGTCTGATTGCGTTAGGGGGGATTATTATAAAAGAAAAAGTAGAGACAACCTTTTTAAAAAATTATGGATAAACTTAAGTTGAAATGGCAAAAGGATTGGCATATCTTGTTCTAGGCCACAGAAGAAGGCAACTTGAGAAAGTGAGAGAGAGGGGAATTCTTGGCTAACAATTTTCCCCTCTTCACTTTTTTCTTGGGGTTCTTAGGAACCCAAAAGCAAAGTTGAACTTGATAACCTTTGCATGAAATCAGAGAGAGCTTTTATCATACACATGATAAGGTACTATATTCTTTACATTATTATTCATAACTTAAGACCACATTCTTCACACCTAATTTGATTAAGATATTGCTTTGCCTCTATGAGATAAAGCATTGGGCTTTTCTAAAGAAGCCAAAAGGCCCAAAATTTTGGCCATATATATATATATATATTTAAAACCTATTAAAGATGCAATTAAAGGACCACAAATGCACCAAGTTCAAGTTGGGGGTGGGGGGAAGAGCGGAATATTCCTAAGCGGTCCAAAAATCCAATTTCAAGATCAAAGATCTAAAATGCAAGGACAAAGGCCCCAAAAGTGGGGCCCAAACACAGGTCCTCGAAGATGGGACCCACATTATTATTGGGCCCATTTTCGGTCTACTTTAGACCCGGATGTTTTTATTCGTCACCCTTGTGTAATATCCATAAATAATAATTAACGTAAAATACTTAGATTTTATTAAATTTTAATTGAAATTTTAGATAAATTTATTAATTTTTAAAATAAATATTTTGTTTTAAATTTTTTTATTAGATATATAAATTTAATCGTTAATTAACTGTTAATATTTTTATTAATTTGATGATGTAATAATATTAAAAATATAATTATATTTTTTATTAATTTTAAAATTCACTATTATATATATTTTTTAAAAAAATAAAATTCAAATGCTTTCCAAGGAGGGAGCACTAGATCTAGTGCTCCCAAAGGGAGGGGGCTCCCAAGGGTGCTCCCACTTATCCCTTGGGAAGCACATGTTATGGGATAGTAGATCGACGACCAGTTACTCATATTATTTGAGAGAAAAAAATATTTTAATATTTTAATATTTTTTATTAATGATGTTTATATTTTTAAATTTTTTTATATATTTTAAAAATTAATGAATTTGTATAAAATTTTGATTAAAATTTAAAAAGATTTAAATATTTTACTCTAATATTTATATACTATATTACTATATATGAACGTGTGAAGTTAAAAACTTAAAATTTTTCTGAGATAAATAAGTTTAGAAATGAGAGTATTTACCATTATGGATTTTAAACTTAAATTTATTAACTCATTGTTAATGTTCGAGTCATTGAGAATGTATAAGATGTGCATATTCGACATCGTTATCAAATATAAATATAAAAATATATTAAAAGGTGAAGTCAAATGAATTTGCTTTTCACCGACCTTATCAAGCCTTTTGTCCAATTGTGCTCGAATCTACTCCATCTTGCATGTTCTCTTGTCTCTACAATTTTTGCTAGCTTTCAATTTTGCCATTTAGCTTTTGTGATAACCAAACTCTGGTTTTTCTATAGCTCTCATAATGATTGACTGAGTTATTCACAGAGCTTCTAAATTTATATAATTATACATTCTTGATATAGTATGTGGGATATGTCACATTGGCACCACCAATTGTTTAGGCTATTAATTGGTTTTAGGGAGATAAATCCATGGAATTGTAGGAGCTGCCCCATCTTTATAAAATGCAAAAGAAATTGGTATTTGGTTTCTAAGAAAGTGCAGGAAAATATATAAACGGCCCAGTTCGAGAGAAAGGTATTTGGTTTATTGATAGTATGTAAAGTTTATATATCTCTACGGTATATCAGATACGAGCTTATGCAAATTTGTGATTAAAGCTTAAATTTTTGTAACTTGGACAGGGATTAAATCTTAGATCGTGCTCTAGGACCTAAGGAGAAAAAAAGGTTGTGAAGTTTGATCATGATTAAGGTGACATTGGCATTCTTTAATAGAATAAGGACTTTGCTTAATTTATAGTAATGGGTGATAGATAATAGGAAGTTACTATAAAAGCTTACATTCATCTCAATGTTCCCAATATTAATTAATTGAGAGCTCCTCCTTTTTGCATCAATGGGGGACCCTGAAAATGAAATTTCAATATGACAATGTGATCAGAGAATTAAAAATGTCAATTTGACAAAGAAAAGGAAGGAAAATGAACAGGTTCTTGCCGTATAGGTATCTTTTGTACTTTGTGTTAACTGACAATTCATTTACAGATATGTAAACCATCACCATTAGTAAATGATAAACTGTAGTATTTGTGAATCTTCTCTCTTTCCCTGTTTTCTATATATATCTTCAAGAGCTTCTTCTTGGTTTCTACTTCTAGCTAGTAGCTCTCTGATAAATCCCAAAGCTTTCAACCATTTCAATTTTCTAGGCAAAGTAGCCATGAACAAGTTCAAGAAGTCTCAGGTTCTGATACTGTCTCTAGTAGCAGCACTTCTTTTCATTGCACCACTTCTATCTTCATCCTTGAGGCCTACTTATCTCTACTTTGTCCTCAATCTGCTTATCATAGCACTAGGGGCCGAAGCCGGGCTGCTCTCAGTGTTTTCCAGGCCTGCTTATGTTGCAGCAAGACCAGTGACAACCCAAGAAACTAAGGCTGTTGAAAGTAGTAAGGATGATCAAAAACAGGTTGCTCCTGCAGGCAATGAGAAGAAGGCTAAGGTTGTTGAGAAATCTGCCTCTGAGAAGATTGTTGGGACTGTCAAGGTGGATAAAGTGAAGAAGTGTCCTTCCACCCCAAGCCTTTTCTTTATAGGAAGTGGGGAGGCTGAAGCAGAAGCTGTTGATGAGGAGCATGAGGAGGAAGAAGAAGAGGTTGGAGGGCTTAGTGGGCCAGAGTTGTTTGCCAAAGCTGAGACTTTCATAGGCAACTTCTACAAGCAGTTGAAGATACAGAGGGAAGAGTCTTGGAAGAGGATTCATGGATTTTATCAGAAAGCCTTTTGAGTGCGTTTACTCCTCATCATATCATATCTACCATCAGTCTAGGATCATTGGTTTGGGGATAATTACATGTGATTGGTCTGCATGGGGGAACTAAATTGAGCCGATTTCCACAGTTCTTCCTTGTATTGGGTCTGTACAGAACATGCATGTTTTCTCTCATTTTCCTGCTTGCCAAGCAGGAAATTAGTCACCTTAGGCACTTCACACCATGTTTTACCTTGAGATGTCATGAAACAAACAAAAGTTACACATAGCTGCGGGTTGTACACATACTAAATTTTCTGTATGAATATAGATATAATTTATGGATTTTGCACCATATGGTATTTCAATTCTTCTTCTCATATGCATATTGTATCATTAGTTTAATGAGAAAATGCTACGAATATCAGTTAATGAAACTTGATCTGTATCAAGTAAAATTGACCAGGGAAAGAGAGCTAGTACGGGTATAATTGCCCCAACAGCTTCCTAAGGTTCCATGGTTCATAATCTAAGAACAAATTTATCTCAACTAATTGAAACTGATCCTTAAGAAATAACATCATGAATCCTTAGACACATTCAGGTATCATGGCAATTTCTGCAGAAAGTGGAAAGAGCCATTTTATCTGACAGAACAGGATGTAAGAGACCGGTGCATTGGTCAAATGGTCATAGAGTTTATACAGGCCAAGAAGATTACATTCAGTAGTCATAACAAGCTTTCTGTGAAGTTTCAACTGAGTTTTCTGTCATAATCAATAGCTTTTCATCCTTCTTTTTTTGTTTTCTTTTCCAAAGAATTTTTCAGGACTACAAATTGATGTTCAACTACACAGATGGCAGACTCTGCAAGTTAATGCAAAGCAGTGTTCAAACTTTTGCATATCTGAGCTGGTGAAGTCACAAAACTTTCCACTATTCAACCCAGTTCTGAAACAAATGACATTCAGATTGAAGATAAGCTTTCCCTAATCATAAGTTAATAACCACTCCATGGTTCTGCTCGTTTTACCATTCTGTTGCCTGTTTAGCAACTGCATACAGTGTATCATCCTGGGTCTTTTTTTTTTCAGTGAAAACTCATTCTTCAGGAAGGAAAAAGTTATATTGTGGAAGCAACAAGAGTGGATGTCAGCCACACATATTAGTAGAAAACAAATGGTCAATTGCTAGTAATTGGTATCCTGGTGGCCTAATGCTTTCTCTGAAAAGAAGCTATTCAGCCAGCTTTTTGCTGATATCTAATGCTTTCTCTTAGGATTTTATCTTTTTTGGATGTTTCCAAAACTTCTGTTAATATAAATCTTAGAACCCCATTTTCACTTTCTGATTTATGTGGTGGGAAATAAGGACATTCAGCCTTATTATTCCTTTCAACTAGAAAATTTCCACTTGTTTATTGTGGCCTGTTGTGGGGGTGGGGGGTGTGGGGTTGGTCCAAGCTGAGGCTGATGACATGAATCCTTATCTTAACTTTTCATTTCCCTGGTTCCCTTTGATATTCTTGTGGCATTTTGAGATGCAGACAGGAACTCCAAATCCCAACCTTGAGAAACAGATTCATGGTTTTGCTCTAAAGTTCCGAAAGATATGGAATCCATTTTGCATCAGTGAAAACTCCCACCAGAACATGGTGCCAATACATGAGAACCAAGTGGAAGTTGAATTGACAGAAAGTCTTTTGTTTGGTTTTCTTGAGCTGAGCATGTATCTAATGAATCCTTGTCTCTTGAATAGTTGTGTTCTCCATTAAGGCCAAGCAGAAGATCAGATCACTGCCTGTTGGAAAAACCTGTCCCCTTTACACCCAGTTTTTGTTATTCAACGTAAAGGATAGATCACTTTCAGTCAAATCATGATGAAATTAAGGAGTAGATTGATAGTCATTAAGTTAATTGGACACTGTTTTCTCATTTGTGACATTCTAGACACGTTTATTGCTTTCATAATATGATGTGATTATTGAAAAGATATTATTAAGATTTTTGATATATATGATCATACAATTTTCTTGTTGGTTTGTCAAGCAATGTTGCAAAATTACCTCAAATTGAGATTGAGTAAAATTGGATCAAATTAATGATTTAATTAAATCGAATATGATTTGGGTAAAATAGTTCGGTACAATTAGTCCATTGAATCTATTGGTTCAAAAAGTTGGATCCAATTGGTTTATTTAGTTGGTTTTCGATTTTAAAATTTTTAAATCGAACTAATTAAAATATATAATACTATATATAATAAATATTATTTTTAAATTTATATAAAAAATATATTTTTAATACTAATTTTTATTATATATTTTATAATTATAAATAAAGCTTATAAATTTAAATATTGTAATTTTAAAAAATAATAAAATTTTAACATTTTGATTTAAAATCAAACCAATCAATTAATTTGATATTTGATTGATTCGATCTAATTTTATATTTAATCGATTCTAATTTATCTTTTAAAAATATTTGATCATTTGATATTTAAATATGACAGATCAAATCATTCAAACCACCAATTACTTACCCTTATCTTAGATTGTACTATTCCTCAAATCCAAAAATTACCAAAAAAAAAAGGAAAGCCCAAAGCAGCTGTGTCTCAATACTCCTTAGTCCATCAATTCTTTTTGGACCTCACAGTGGAAGGTGTGGGCTTTACTTTACTTTGAGATTACAAATTGGAAAACCTTTTCCCCATCATCAGCAGCCCTCTTTTGACCCAATGATCCAATTGATCAAAACCTGTATTGAGGAAGCCATTTTTGGACCTTCTTAACCACCAATTATTAAGAAATGATTTTGTTTGATCCTATTCAAGGATTAGTTAACTACTAATATGGTATAATTTGTCACATGCATCATTTTTTTATTATTTTTGTTTTATAAATAATTATGTTAGAAGAGTGGGAACCATGAAATGAAGGCCTGTAAGTAGGCAGCAACCATCAGAAAAGAAGAAAAACTTAAGATAGTCTTTGTTTTATAATAATATAAAATCTACATAAGCTCAAGGTCAAATCAAGCACCAACCACCACAGAATAAAGAATGCATACATCGTTATATAACTTATTGTTCTTTGAGAACTTGTCCAGAGCATAATTCAGCATAAGCAGCTGAAGTTTCCCTGTCAAATGCTGTTTATTACATAGAAAAATACTAATTCAAATCATTATTATATGATGATTGGGAGGTTAACAGCATGAAAATTTGTTGAGGTTTTGTTTCTTCCTTGTTTCAAAGGGATTCATTGTTAGCATACAGGTTTTGCCAGGTTGAGAAGAAGAAAGATGGAGAAGGAACCTAGAACAAGGGTGGTGAATTGTGCAACTCTGGCAGTCTGTTTAGTTTTGATTGTTCTGCTTTATGCTGCATTTTTTCCATCAAAAGACACTGCATTTCAGTCATGTAATCATCTTTTTTTTTAGCTATTCAGATGTTTTGTCCACTTCTTTGTTAGTAGTTTTGTTTATATGAGAGCCTTGGCTGATTTGAGCTATTTGGAAATGAAGGGAAGGGCAGGTTTTCGGATTCAAGAGGCAGTCTCAGCAGTGAAAGGGTTGATGTTGATGCAGTTGATTCTCAGGAATTTCTGTTAAGAAGACTTGTTAGAGGTTTCTCTGTTAATCTCTACCATTCTTAGAATTTAATTTCTTCCTACCTTGCATGCCAATGTATTTGTGTTCAATGGAACAGGAGATGACAGGGTTCAGCTCGACTCCAATGGATTTTCCTGCCATATTGATGTTCATTCAGAAGTATGCCTTGTGAACAAACCAGTACGGATTGATAACAAAGCATTAACAGTTTATGCACTATCTGATCAACCTCAAGTTAAGAGAATGGTTCAGCCATATGCAAGGAAGGAGGATGAAACTGCTATGAAACTTGTTACACCAGTTCAGATACTGTATGGAAACACCAACCCACCAGCTTGTGATTTCACCCACAATGTCACAGCGGTGGTCTTCTCCTCTAGAGGATTCACAGGGAACGTGTTTCATGAGTTCAATGAGATTGTCATCCCTTTATTCATCACTTGCCACCATTTCCGATCCCGCCTACAGTTTGTCATCACTGACTTCCAGCCTTGGTGGGTTCAAAAGTACAACAGGATTCTTTCTCACTTGTCTAGTTATGGGGTCATAAATCCTGAAGCAGATGGAAGTGTTCACTGCTTTCCAGGGGCTGTAATAGGGCTTAAGTATCATGACAATCTAGCCCTCAACACTACTAATATTCCAGGAGGTTATTCCATGTTTGATTTCAGGCAGTTCCTAAAGGAATCATACTATCTGAGAGTAAAGCATGTGTCTGAGATTGAGAAGCCAGTGCTGATGCTTATATCGCGCAGTAAAACAAGAAGGTTTTTGAATGAAGATGAAATGGTGGAAATGATGGAGGAACTAGGCTTTCAAGTCATAAGGGCAGAACCTGGCAGGATGTCAAACTTAGACAAGTTTGCTGGGGTAGTGAACTCTTGTAGTGTCATGGTTGGAGCTCATGGTGCTGGCCTAACAAATGAAATATTCTTGCCCACTGGTGCAGTGATGGTTCAGGTGGTGCCACTGGCAAACGAATGGGTTGCAGCCAACTACTTCGGAGAACCAGCAAAGGAAATGGGTGTCCAATACTTGGAGTACAAGATTGAACCAGAGGAAAGTTCTCTCTTTGACGCTTATGGCAGAGATCACCCTGTCATTACTGATCCAGAATCTATCATCTCTAAGGGCTACTATGCTTTCAGGTCTGTGTATGTTGACGGCCAAGATCTAAAGATCAATTTAGAGAGATTTAAGAAGACCCTTATAGAAGCTAAGCAACTTCTTGGAAGCTCAACTCCCTTTGATCCATGAATGTTGATGTGATCATCTTCAAGACACAGCAAGAAGAGGCAGACAGAAAATGAATTCCAGCATCATGTACAAGGACTCAAATTCATTTTTCCCCCCCTTGAGGAAATAAACAGCATTTGTCCTTTTGGTATAGAGTCCGGGAAAAGCCAAAATAACATTAATTCCTAGTTTAAATAGCATACAGTTCTGTTTTATTGATTCAAGAACCATCATTGCTCAGTTTCAGACCAACAGATTCATTATTCAAAGATAATACAAACTTGCAAGCTAAAGCTGCTTCCATGCCTATATCTTGCTGTTATGGTAAATCCATTTCAAGTTTTCTCAAGCCAACCTACAGCTTACAGCAATAGAGTTTACTAATATTACCCCATATATAGCAGATATGATCCTCCAAGCAAGCAGCAGAATCACATATTGCCAGCTTCTTCTAGGAAACAGATCAAAAGGAAAGCTGCAGAGTTCCTGGCATCTTTTTCTGTAAGTTTTTCATTACCCTCCATGCAGAGCACAACATCTTCAATTTCAATTTCAACTGAATACATATATTTCCTCTCATGTGAGGGACCTTCATCTTTTACTTTTCTGCAAGTTACAGCAACAGAAGGGCTGAATTGACAGTAAAAGAAGAGAAGAAAAAGCAAGGGATAAACATATAAATGAAAGTTAAGATCAATATTTTATTATAGTAAAGAGCTAATTCAACCAACTTGATCTAATTTTTCCCATTTCCTTCAATGATTAACCAAACTTTTCTGCTGTTCTGGTCTGTTTTCTCATGTTTAGGCCTAGAAATGAATGGATACATTGGTGGGAAAACAAAACTTTGCCAAGACTTTCTCTTTGGTAAAAATGGAGTGTCTCAGTCCAACGCTGATCACAAGCAAAGAATTTCTCTCTGTTATTTGATAGTGTTACCCAATCTACATTCCTGGAAAATGTGACATACCAAAACCTGGAAATCTCCTCTCTCTCTGTCTCTCACTCATTGTTTTCATATTCCTGAGAAAAGTGCCTTGTTCTCCTTGTTCCTAGTGACCCCTAACCTCAAATGGCTAGCTGGGTTATTTCATGTAGTAATTCAGAATCTGAATTCAATGTCCATAACAAAGAATTATGTTCATGCCAAAGGGATTAAATTGTGCAAGAACAGGTTGATCAAGAAGAAATTCATGCCTGTAAACAGGTTCTTTCCACTTTCTCTTGCCACATAATCCATACAACTCATTTTGTGCTCCTTTAATCTCAGAAGACAGGTCAGGTCCATCCTTTGGCAGCATGATTTCATCAACACCCAATAGACCTTTAAAGATCTGCCAAGCATATCAAGAACACAAAAATTTTTTGCTTAAATCCTTTGGCTGCATGCATGATTTTATTCCACCATTGATGACTGTCATCATTGCCGTAAAAAGGGTCACTAAAAATCACAGAAATTAAGATAAAAATTTTAATTTTGTAATATTTTATATTAAAAAATTTTAAAATCGAATTAAATTCAAAAACCAAGAAAATAATGATACAAGTAAAAACTTAAACCTACCGTCCACAGCTTGTCTAGATCAAAATTGACGTCCAAATAAACAGCACCTGCCAAAGCCTCTACAACATCAGCCAGTATGTCTGGATGTGTAACTGTAATGTTATGATCATCAGCTGCATCTTTCACTGTCCTTTCATACTTCCTTACCTTGTAAAATAAAATGAAGAAGAAAAAAACTTTAGAGCATAAACATGATTAATTGTCCAAATTAAGGTTTGAATATCCGATTTTTTTCATTATCCATTTTAAATGAGGGTGCATGGTCCGAATCTAATACTAATTGTCACTGTGTACGTGAATGTTTGATTTTTTTATTATTTCTTTTCAATGAAGATTTATTATTCGATTTTAATATCATTTGCCTTCATACACACCAACTTATAAAATATTATTCGATTTAGTCAATTAAGATTTTATCTCGTAAAAATACCTTTAAATATATATTGAATGTGAAATTCATAATTCTTTTTCATCTTTCGGAGTATTAAGAAAAATTAAAAGTTGCGTTTCCTTGTTAAATAATAAACAAAAAAAGACTGAAAAAAAAAATAATAAAAAAGGACAATAAGAGTTCCAATACATCGTTGTCGAGACTAGCAGTGTTGTTTCTCCTGAGCGACCAGTAAAGGCCATGATCAGCAGCCACGCGCGCGAGTTTCACGTTGCTTACGCACTTTTCTCGGAGCTTCGTGAGTTGGCCGGGGGTTAGCTTCAGCTGCCCCAAACGAAAGAAATGAGTAGCGACGGCCAAGCAGAGCGCGGCGTCGCCGATGAACTCTAGTCTTTCGAACGACACAGTCTTGGTGAACGAAGAATGCGTCAGAGCTTCCTCGAGGAGGCGTTTGTCTTTGAACTTGTAGTTAAGGATACTCTCCACGTCAGCGATCGCCGACGGGTCCATGGTGGCGGCCGAGGAAGAGGAACAAGAAGAAAAATAAGAGTAATAACATCTCTTGACATGACGGAAACATGAGCACCAGCAAAGCCAAAAGACTTGCGAAAGCAAAGCCAGGACCACCGTGGCAACCACCAGCTCGAGCGCAGATGCTTCGGCGGAAACGCCGTCATGGGGTTGAACCAAGTGCTGGTTCATGGTGGAAACTACTGAACTACTGTGATGGAATAATGAGAATTTTGCTTTCAAGTGAAGCATTTCAAAAGCCTTAGCACAAAGACTTTTAAAGACAAAACATTGGACTTCTGTCTTCCAATCACTTTGCCTAAACAACGTGTCATTGTCTATTATTGGCATAATTTCGTCAAAATTATTTTTTTTTCCGACCTAATAAACTTCTTATATTATCCCTAATCCAATTAAAATTTTTATATTAATGTCTCTTTTATCACCAGAATATCTAATAAACTTTTTATATTATTACGTGTTTAATTAAAATTTTATTTTGCGGCATTTTCATCATCAAATTATTTGTTTTTACGATTAAAAATTACAATTTTTAATTAATAATATAAAATTGAACATATAATATAAAATTATGATAGAAAAATGGAACCGGATGCCGAGCGAGTGCAAATACTTTTTATCTTGAATTTTAAGTAGTAAAAAGATGTTCCTTTATGAAAAGGAGGGACCTTTATTGAAGTTTAAGGAGAAAGAGCAAAAGGAAAAGGGCATTGTCTGCTTTGCCAGATGAAAAAGAAAGAAGGATTTAAAGTTTTAAACTTTGTTTAAAGTTCATTTTATGTATAGATTCAAGAACTGAACCTGAAAAATATGGAAGAAATTAACACCAAATTTGTGCTTGTAACTGGTTATGTTGATTTCTGTCTGTAATGATCGTTAGAAAGATGAGGGAATCTCGATCTATCAAACCCGAAGCTCCGATTCCATGTTAGAAGAAAAGAAAAATCTTGATTTATCGAACATCTTAACAATAATAAATAAAGCATGCATGAGAACTTGAAAAGATTGTATTGTTACAAGAATCATCATCCCTTGAGGGATTTCAGAAGAGAGAATTTGAATTTCAAGCTGACCCTCACTACCTTGGAGGATTACCTGGTATCATTCTTAATCCTCAAGGACAATCTAACCAAGAACAAAAGAAGTTTCTGTTCATGAGATTGTACAAAGGAATGTATTTCCAGGCACAGCAAACAAGCAGAGATCATCACTGTTGGCTTTCTAAACCCATTTATCCTGACAGTCATCTACATCTTGGTGAGCTTCAAATTAAGCTAGAGAGATGCAGATACATTTGAAGATTGAATCTCTTTCTTTATGGTTGGATGCTACAACATACAACAAGATTTTACCTGTTGTTAGAGATATGATAAAGATTGTAGTGAATTGAGGAGGGAAGAATCACAGATAGCCGGATTCTTGGAGGGCTCGAATCATGAAGGAAGCTGCAGAGTTCTCTGCTTCTTTAACTCTGGACTTTTCATCCCCTGTGATATATAGCGCACCATCTACAGTTGGAATTTTAACTGAAGATACAAATATCTTCTCATGCGGGCGACCTTCATCTTTCTCGAGTCTAAGAATTGAAGCAACAAAAGCAAAAAAGGATTAGACCTTTTAAAACATGGAAGGAAAAAGAGTGACCAAATTAACAAGAAGTGAGAATATTTTAACAATGGCGAAGCATGGGATGAACATATGTATCAGAGATGGCAAACAATATGTGAATTTCGAACCTCACATTGTCATTCAAAATTGCATAGTGACCATTACAATACAGGCACTTCTCTGAGTATCCTACATGAATTTCTATCTTGCAACCCAGAACCTTCAAAGATACCAGACACACTTATCTGGCTTTTTAAGTCGCCTCATGCCTGATCATAAGAAGTCACTAATGTTCAAAGAAAACCAGCAAAGGACTCCTCTAACATGCACTACAACATCGAGAAAGATTAATATTTGATACACTGTCAGGGCACAAGGATTGCTTGTATCTTGCTTTGCAAATGCCTTCTAAACATCTATTTGTATATTGCTTGTATATGCACCCTAGTGTATATAAGGGATCTCTAAATGAGAATCTGCTAGAGATAACAATTCATTAAGGCATGTTTATCCCAAAAAAAATTCTCATAGATTTAAAAGAAAGTATAAGTTCATACTCATAAATAGGCTTGAGCCACTTTTTCTTGCCACAGAGCTCGTGCAACTTCTGTTTTGCTCCATCAATCTCAAAAGACCCGTTAATCCCTTCGATTCCAAAAGGATTAACATCAACAGGCATGGATTGCAACAACTTATGCAAGGCTCCCCTTGCTGCATTAAGCTTTGCAATGTCCTTTTGCTCAGAAGAACCGGAAGCAATGAAACTTCCGTCAACGTAAACACTAGCAACATTTGTCAACCCTTTCTTCCAGTGCTTTATATCAACATGCTTCCCTTGCTTTTGGCAAAACTCAAACAACACCGTCACGGGTTGGGGCTGTTGCTGCAAATCCTCTAATGTCACTATAGGCTCCAATAAACCTCTAATGATCTGCAACACATACCCTAACAATTCCTTTAACCTCAACTTTCACAAACCCCTAAAGGAGGAACGAGATGATCGAATCAAAAACAGTAAATTACATACCACCCACAGTTTTGAAAGATCAAAATTGACGTCAACATAAACAGCGGCTGCCACAGACTCTACAATATCAGCTAGGACCTTTGGTGCTTTCATGGATCCACCATATGACACTGGATCATCTTCTTGACTAACCACCTTAGCAAACTCCCTAACCTATACAATAACATAACAAGAACCCAATTATACTCATGAAACCAAATTCAAAGAATCACTGATCAGATATTTGATAGAACAAAGAAACATCTTTACCAAATTCTCTAACGGCGAGATTATATTAACAGGAATTAAGTACATTAGAAAGATTACTTTACTCCTAATCAAATTCTCTCCTTGTCAACAGAATATACGAAAAGGCAAAGAAAAGGGAAATTACCTTATCCTCGAGACCAATGGCATTGTGCCGTACGAACTGGAAAAGCCGGTGGTTGATGGCAACGCGGGCGAGTTTCTCAGTACTTATATTCGCTGCCCGGATCAACGAAAGCAGCCCAGGGTCAAGCTCCGGGTAAGCCAAGAAGACGTGGTTAGTGAGGGCCAGCCCCAGCGCAGCGTCGCCGACGAACTCGAGTCGTTGATACGACGTCGAATCGGAGTAAGAAGAGTGCGTCAAGGCTTCTTCGAGGAGGCATTTATTTCGAAAACTGTAGTTGAGGATCCTCTCCACGGCCGCGATCGAGGCTTCCAAGTCGGAAGAAGCGGAGGAGGAGGAGGAGGTGGTGCTGGTCGTGAAGTGGTTGTAGGATATTGGCCGTGCATGCAAGTTTGCGTAAGGGTCGGTGACGGTGTCGACGTGACGGAAGAATTGGTTCATCGGGGAAAAAAAATGACTTCGAATGTTCAAAGTGGCTTTCCTAGGAGTATGCCCTGTTCTTTCTTGTCGCTGTCTTGCCTTAAAACTGAGAAGGAAGGATGATGTAATATTAATATGAACCTTCCTATAATTGGAAGGTTCTTTATTCTTTGGAGTTACCATTTTTTTTTTAATTTTTTTGAAAATCAAAATATTTTTCATATTTTGATTTTCACTCATTATTACGTTCAAAACATATCTATAATCATTATAATTTCAAAATAAATTGATCTTTTTTACTTACATAACATATAACTTGACGAGCTAACATAATAACATAATGCCTTGGTTGATATACTTAATATGATATCGTTCTACCTTTCAATATGTCCTGAATTGTTAGATTTTTACACTGAAATTTATACAAAAATGCAAATGGTAAGGATAGAAAATGGTGAGACAAGTGCAGGCAAAATCTAGTGCTTCACCAATTTTAGCTAGGATACTAAACAATGCATGTGTGTGTATGTATACATACAAACAAATCCGTTGCTGGTTGAATTGGAGCCTTAGGACAAAAATCGAAAATGTTTCAGCTGAAGTAAGGTTCCCAGATTGTTCAGTTTGATTGTTCCAATGACGTCGCCAGTAGTTCTTACATTCCAGATCAACATGATCATGCTTCTAGGTAGTTAGTAGCCATGTGTTTCTGGGAATGGTTGCCAACATATAAACTTCAACTGCAACTTTTGCTGTTGGAACCAGTTCCGGTTCATTGAAATGCTGTTGAGTAAGCTTCTTTGAGAGTGCAAAATGTCCTCACATTCTTAAGATTCGACTCAGTTTATACACCTGCAAGTCGAAAAGCAAAGTAGGATTCAAAACTGGAAAGCTTGACCAGATATATAGCACCCATTAGAATATTTGGCTGAACGAGAATTCTGTTAAATAGAGTTCGCATCTTCACTTTGCAAAGGGTGACAGCAAATAAACAATGCCAGGGTAAATTACAAGGTAGCCAAGCATAAGAGAGACCAACAGACCATGGTGGGAAGGTTCCTATGAATTCTAACAATGAGAACAACAGAGTAATTGCATTGAAGTTTACCAACCTGTGCAGTCCTACTAGGCAGTGGAACCTCTATGCAGTTTCGTAGACCATCAACCCTGGAAATTTCAGACAATATATTCAGTCAAAAGAAACATGCTAGCCAGAATGCAATGGAGTTAAAGTTAATTTTTACCACAAAATATGACAAGATATTCAGGGGAAGTTGATAACTACCTTCTGGTAATGGTTCGTTGAAGATATTGTTCCTCCTTTATGATCCCTTGACCTCCATATTTTCTTTCATCAGTGTTCAGTACGACCTGTATCGCCATTGAATATTTCAACTCTATTATAAATGCATGGGAGGCTACTAAACTGTAATATTTCATGCTGCATTAGATCGGGAGTTCCTCCAAATGAACAGATTCTAATCTTAATCAAAAGAAAGAAGTTATGTCTGTTAGTTTAGATTTCTGAAACATCTTTATTGAACAACCTGCATTTCTGTACTTATGGCCATGCCCGGATGATGAAGAGAAATTAATCTACTTAAGAAAAAGAAATTTCATAACTGACCAACTTCAAAAGAAAAACATATACTTACCTGATACTCTCCAGCTTCATCCACACCCACACAATATCTTTCATAAGAATTTGTGAGATGAAAGTTGAATATGAAGAGAAGAGGACCTCGTATGTAGGATATTACCTGTATATATTGGAACGACAAAATTAATAAGAAAATCATAAGGTATTAATCTGTCAAACTAGCTGAGCGGAATATGAGCACCTGTATGTGCATACATGCATGCAGAGAGAGAGAGAGAGATTAAGACATCAAATGGGAAGGCTGGTGCTATACCATATTAGTGTCATTCACATGGTGAATGTTGGGCAAACCTCTTGAAAGTACCCCTTCATTTTCGTCCAACTTCATCAGGTCCTAAAAGTTGGAAGAAAAAGTAAGAGCTTGCGACCAATGCATTTTTAAATGCCCTTTTTATAGAATTTTGAAGCCAAAGCTAGACCATAATTTCTTGTTCAACAAACAAAAAGGACAACATAGCAATTAACGACAATATATTTACTATGCCGAACAACCGTAAAGAGATGACTCATCAAATTAATGCATATGCCTAACAGTTCTAGCACTTTTTCAGATTCTTAAGTAGCAAGTAACATAAAGAAAACTGAGGTTAGAAAATGTATGTGACAGTAAAAAGGCTGTACTGCAGGGTAATAGAATTGATACCTTATCAAAGCAAAACAAATCACGATATACTCCTTCATTTTCTAGAAGATCCCAGCATCGGTTAGCTAGTGAAAACGAGAACTTGTTGCTAGGCATTGGGAACTCAACCCTCTAGTACATCAAAAGGCCATTATTCACAAGAAACAAAGTCTTCATAGATAAGTAAATAGAAAATCACGCTCACCTTTGGATGCCCAAATTCGTTCCCCATAAAGTTCAGATAACCACGGCCACCAACTGTGAATGTAATCAGTTTGATCATCTGGTTTAAGGGAAAGAAAACTAATGAGTAATTAACAAAAAATCACAAAGTTTGTTTCTAGAGATTGCACTTTATGGAGTGCATTAGAAAAACACATAAAAGTTACGAGAGTGCAAGTTGCAAGCTGATTTAGGCACTTTTTCCAGCTTTTACTAGCCAAAACCCCTTCTAGAATAATGCTTTGATGCATCTAACCAACATGTCTCACATTATTAGAAAATAGGTTTTGCTCTACAGAATTGTCAAAATAATAAAATGAATATGAAAGAGCAAAAAAGAAAGAGCCTGGTAGCAAAGAGTTAACACATAAAAAAAGCAGAAACGTTGAATACCTTGTTTAGTGAAGATCCTCTAAGCAATAATTCCTCTGAGTGAGGAGCTTGTTCATTCCCTTGACCCAATAATATCTCTGCTAATGACTGCCCTCCAGATATGGACTGACAAACAAGATAGTAATCACAGGATATCATCATTCCAATGTATTTATAACTCTAGATGTGAATAAAATTCTTGTCTGAATCCATCTCAAACAAAGCTTTTGCTATATGACAAAAGATTAAAGTAGAAGGGTACTTGGTTGTGATTTTCGGCATAGATGAGCATTTTATCCGCACAATGTCTGTTGCCTAGTAATGTGCTAATTATCTGCTTAATAAAAATACTTAGCATTAATGCCAGGATAATAGATGGAAAAATTTATGCTATGAAAAGCATTCCCTCTCTGCCTTGTATATCTCATCGACTAAAAATAAAAAGAAAAGAGAATTAATGGCAATAACAACATAATACTCAATGCTGAATGAATCAATACTAATCATGTAACACAACCTTGCTCATGCTCCACTCATGGTCAGGAGTGCTCTCAAGCAAAGATGACCACATCTCTGATGCAGAAAGATTGACATAATAATCAAATCCCAGTCCACCCTGAGAAGTTGGTTCACATAATCCAGGGTAAAACGTTGCCTGAGTATTAAAGCAGACGAAACTTTATTAAGTCCACAAAAGAAATAAATAAAGCTCAATATGGAAAAGTTCTCAAGATTAATAACAGTACCAACAAAAGTTTCATTTAATGTAAGCCCAGAACAGCTAGATGTTAAATTTAAAAAAAAAAACCCAGTTGATAGATGCAAATAGTGCTCAGACAAGAAGTTTGGTTTCCAAAGATAGTTAGAGAAAGCCGTAAAAGTATTGGGTTTCTCGAGAAAAGAACAGCACAAAACATAAGACTTACATCTTCAGCAATTGTTATTATATTAGGATGAAGAGCATGCAGTATCTCATTTGCCAAAATGAGGTACATTAAAGCATCTTTGTCAACATATTGATTGCAGTACCTGCAATAAAGAATGACTATTTTCAAATAATTCCTGCCAGAGTGAGGAAAAGATTACAGAATGAAGGATTAAATATTGACTTAAAAAACAGTATCAGACCACCTAAGGTTTTACTAAGATTCCTTCTCTCTTAGGTGCTTAATATAATTTTCCACAATGAATATATATAATGTTGTTGATTTAACATCACTAGGATTGTGGAGCTGCCACCCCCTTTGTTGGGGTATCACCTCTTGAGGGATGAGTTACGTGTCCAGTAGTTCTGTTGTTTAGCTTATCCTTCATCTTATGTACTAAAAATATATTCATTTGAGAGCAAAGCTACTTAGTCTAATCTGATACAAAATCAATTAAATTAGGCATTAGGGAAATACTACAGTAAAAAACTAACTACTTTCTCCCTCTCAAAGGAGGTTGCTACAAAAAGAAACATTTTAGTAGATGCCTTACTCCTCCAAGTCACCAGTAAATGAAGCAAAGCCATTGTGTGTATACAGCATTGATGCAAGTGAATGGAACTGAAAACCATCAATCTTATACTCTGAAATCCACCTGCTCAAGGATTATCTCAACATCATTGCCATTATTGCCTTCCCAAAGGGGAACATAAGTTACTTCCCAAATGATTACGTTACAAATCATAAAACTGAAAAAGGATAAAATGGAAAAAAGATGTTCTGCACATGTACCAGTTCAAATTTGAGAGGAGAAAATGCAATACATCTAGATCGCCATATTTAAACATTCGGGTGCCCCAATATTTGTGATGTCCTCGTTTACCTAATCAAGTGCAGAAAGTTGGGTAACAAAATATAACAATTTCTTTGTTAGTCAACTTGACCTCTTATGGCATCCTTTAATGGAACAACAATAACATTAAGAAATATCAGCCAAAACAAAAGGCCAACTATTCCACTTATACTGCATTTATATGCACTAAATATACAGCACATGAGCATGTAAAGTCCCTGCTATCCTGTATAAACTAAAGGCAACAGCAAGAACAGTTCTCTCAACGAGTGGCTTGAATTTTTCATAAATCTTATGTTATTGACTTTTGTTGGTTATTTGATAGAACAATTGATCTACAACTTCCACTAAATGTTAGGTGATAATTAACATGTTATCATGTGCAACCTCAACTTAACAAAATATTCCATCACCTCAATAGAAATGTCAAATATCTAAGAATATTTGTTCCAGCTACTTCAGCATAGAAACCTCAACATAACACAACATCAGTGCACAAAAATGACAAGGCAAAACTAGGGATTCTGCATCAATAGAACAACTCCTTTATCTCAACTAGATGAACTATCTAGGGATAAAGCATGAAAAAGACTACATAGTTTGCAAGTATTGTGTCTCCTATCAACATCACAGGCTCAAATTCCAAGATATCTCAGAAAAGCACCATACACACGAGTCTATTACATAAGGGAGATCAAGAGGCAAATACAAAACACAGATCAGTTGTTCAAAAAGGAAAAAAAAAACATTTACCACTATGAAAGTAACAATCGTTTGATCCATCAAAACGTGATAGTCCAACCATCTCATCTGCAGCTGAGTAGGAATGCACTATGTCTAAAAAGACCAGCAGTCCTAGTCCTGTAGGAAGATGGTAATTGAAACGTGTATTGACCAAAAAAAATGAACCACAAAGAGGAAAAAGATAATTATATGCTGATATAAACAGTATGCATTCTTAATATAGTGTAGAAAAAGCTTCTGTGACTATGATGCCTAGCCTATGAGCATTTCTATTATACACAGTGCCTTATTCTAGTGTTATCCACTGTATCTAACTACATGTTATTTTTTCTCCAAACAAGCTGTAAGTTATGAACTATTCAGAAACTCAATGCTATTCTACCAGTTTAACTTATGACATTTCGCATCTGCCAACAAAAATGCTTAAATCTACACATTATTTAAATTTGTTTCAGTCTTAATACACTTTTTAGCATTATAATCCTCTTGAGATAATTGTAATGGATATGCAGCAGCTTAGATGCAGTTAGAGTAGCTATCTTGTAATGCTAAAGAAGGAACTTTTCACTTGCAAAGAAAATTGAAAATTCAAAGTGAACTGTGGAAATGAGAAGTTGTGAAAAATAGTGACCATGTGCTTCATCAACCAAACGCTTGAACTCCTCTGGCGTGCCATACCGGCTGCTAACGGCAAAAAAGTTAGTGACCTGCATCACCAAAGACATGCCAGATCAAATGACTATAAAATAAAGATAAGCACAACTAAGCTGGCAGAATATGTGGAAAATGGTAAGCATGAATCACAAGCATCTTTTAGCATGATGGGCTTGTAAGATAGAGAACACCTTGCTCCATCTTGTAATTTCTTGTGACCTAATCACAAGCAATAAAACTAAAACAAACAAGAAGAGCCCATTGTGATCAGGGTTCAGCTTCCAATTGCTTGTAGCAAGTTCAATTGATCTATTTCTGACATTAAATTTTTACTGTCAATGTTGTAATCATCATTTTGCCTCCTTTTGATCTAAACATACAATACAATTGACAATCAAAGTCCGGAACAAGTTGCATATAATACTCGAAGCATGAAACAGACAGATTCTAAGTCTATAGTTCAAAGGTTTACAGCAATCAATTTATTAACATTTGAAATGAAAAAGTGGATACAGGCTTCCACAACTTAGAAACCTCACATGTAAATTAATAAAATGTCAAATATTAGAAAAGAAAGATTAACTCACTCTATAACCAACAGTGAAATAATCTTTATGTTCAACGATTCCAAAAAGCTGGATTGCATTATATCCAGCTTCCTTTATGTGAGGAAGAACCTGCAGTGGAAAAACATAGCATAAAACAGAAGAAAACACAGCCAAATTACAGCAGTTAAGATGTATGGACAATGCAACAATTAGAGAGGCACCTTTTCCGTAAAATCATTGAAAGAAGATATTGTGGGCTCTGATCCACTGATTCCAACATGGCATTCGTAAATGCGCAAAGACTTTGGCACTTTTGGGGCTATGTTTTTCCACTTGTATATGCATTCAGGGGGTGGTTCCCAGTGAATTGCATAACCTTGTTGTCCCTCTGCATCAGAACATAGTCAATGGAGATCAGATGAAACACATTGGAACCGTTAGACGTTGCTTTGCCAGTCAATTTTTTATTTATCTTTCTAATAGTACAAATGCAAATGGCTAAAAACATGTAAAAGTGAACAAGACGAAGTTGGAGCTGTGGCTCAAATGGAAACGATGCATAAAGATGAAGCAGAAAATGACTGCAATCTCTGCAGGGTAATTACCTGGTTGTACAAAAGTAGCCCAAGCAGGTACCCGTTCCAAGGGCCCGTCAGGAGTATTGAAATACACCCTGTACTTGCTTCCATGAGGAATAGCTGGAGTGTACTTTTTCAACCATGCCTTTCGTCCTTTGCGTGTCTCTATCCAGTACGGCAGGGGAGGCTTCTTAGCTCGGAATTTCTCTTGCCATGCAGGATCAGCCACAATATTGAAAATATCATATTCTTTTCTGTTATCAATCACATCAAATGGAGGTAAATTACTAGGTGCGTCATCTTTATGCTGTTCTTTCCATGCCTTATATCTGGTTTCTGCATCTGGTATTTCTTCAAACTCCTCCATGGTTTGAGGTCCGTTAGGGCCAAAAATTCGCTCATACAACTTAGCTGGCAATTCGAAACGGTTCTTAATAAAGCGGTCCTCTCCAGGTTCCCAGTACTCATCATTTGCTTTCTTAAAAACCTCATCAATGGTAACACCACTATCTCCTTTATCGTAATCATCAATATAGTTATATTGCTGAAAATACAGTTCATCTGGTTCTTCTCCTTCCCTTAATTTATCTTCAAGAATTATAAACCAGTATCCATAATCATCATGGCCAAAATGACCCTCTCTTGCAGCATTCTCTGTCGGTGACCACCCGTTGAAGTCGGCAACTAATGCACAGTAGCGGGCACCTGTTTCCAACATGCTCAATTTTTATTAATTACCAACAATACAGAAATTGGCTGAGAGACAAATGGTGAATATGTTTCTTTACAGATATCTTTTATCTTATATTGATAGACATTCTTGGGAACATACATATTCAGCAACTCCCTATGAAGAGTCCCATCAGGTAATATACTTAATGAAGTAAATTGATTTTTCAGCAAAGTTAGAATAGAATTATAAACGTTTTGAGAAGCTTATATGATCAAAGTAAATGTAAAATAAAGGCACAAGCTGAGTCAAAAACTTGGGTTTGAATTTGATAAGAATTTAACTTAGGCCAAACCTGGAGCCCAGTCCATAAAATCCACCCTATGCTCCTTGTGACGATGCATACCCAATATCTCAAATCCAGACGCCATTTCCTGAAGATTGAGGTGGCGTGTAAAGATTTCAGCTTTAAGATCCTTCAATGATTTATGCCTACAAAACAGATTAAAAAGATAATAATAATAACAATAATAATAATAATAATAATAATAATAATAATAACAACATGTAAGAAACTATACATTCATAAACAGAAAAACTATACAGGAAATCATAACTTGTTTTAGCTTAAAAAAGATTATTAATTGAAAACAAACACCCCAAGCATTCCAAGTTCTTTCCTCATCTACTCTTTCCAGCTAAAAAACCATACACTTTTTCCTTCACGTTCTAGTGAACCAAACATAACATACAATATCCATTCTTTTTTCTTCACAGGTCAAAGCTTTTATTTCCAAAAAAAAAAAAGAAATAAAACTCAGCTTTCCAACTTCTCTCCACTCTTTTTCTTTCACTTTGAAATCAATTCCTTTCAGCTAAAAACGATACCTTTCACGAAGAAACTGAGAAAAGGCCTTATGGTTGATTCCTAGTTTTGTCAAAAACCCAACTGGGTCGACTCCTTTCTCACTTTCAGCCACACTTTTCTTCCTCCTGGAGTAACTTCTTTGTTGGTTTTGTTGTTGTTGTGGGTCTATAGAAGAGCATTTTATCCTTACTTTTGTTCTTCTGGCGAAGAATACTATTTGAGGATTGTTTCGAGGTTGGAAATGGAGAATTGGGTTGTTTGGATTGAGAGAAAACTTGGGTTGGAGAGAAAGTGAAGGCATTTCTGAGAAAAATTTGGGCTTTGACAGAGAGTGTCTTAGTGAGGTTTAAAGATAAGCGAAGGCGGGTACCGAGTTAAGTCAAAGGTTTTTGAGTTTACTCGGGCGAAGAAATTCTTTCTCTATTTTGTTAAAAAAAAAATTAAACTATTAATTTTATCTAATAAAATTATTAAAACATTTTCAATTTAAAATTAATTTATTTATTCATTTAAGAAGTATTTTTATAATTTTATTAAACAATAAAACATGAAATGCTCTAAAGAAAAAAAAACTATCAGTGGCATGTGAAATAAGTTAAAATCACTAGAAATGTAAGTTGATTTTTTTTTCCCAAAGAAAAATAATTTTCTCTTATTCCAAAAACTCCCCATAACTCTTCCAAAATGACATTTTAAAGTAGAAAATTTTACATTATTGTCATTTGAGTCCTTACAACATTCAAAAGATGGTACTATCTTCTTTCTATTAAATAAGATGTAGCAAAGTATTACCATTAAAAAGAATAATAGAGTTTGAATCATGAATCTTGATAACTTCATTTACAATTCCCCACAGGAATAAGAATGGCAATGAAGTTATACTCCATTATATCTGCCAATGGGTACAGATGCTAGAATACAATCAAGAACAAGAGCATGAGAGGAGAAGAATTACATGGATTTGGCAAATTTTGTCAATTAAATGGTTACACAAAGTATACATTGGTTATTCAAGCAACTGCAACAAACTCTATGGCATCAATTCGGCAGCTTCTTCGAATAGTCCCTTGATCCGAAGATGGTCGAGCCAACCCTCACGTTTGTACTGCCCATTTCAATCTGCAAGGACCACAGAGTAACATTCATAAGTGGCATCATCTGCATCTCGATTACTTTTCCAAAAGAAAGTTTTGCATATTGATGCTTCAATGTATTACTAACAACAAAAATAGATGATAATTCAAGCATTTCTAAGAGTTTTCTATTCTGCTCTTGATGAAAGTTTCAGACGCTTAGTTTCAAACCAGTTTCTGCAATTTCCATGGACAAGATTTCTCAGCAACTATGACAGGAGTGTTAATGGCTTCTGTCAACAAGCTTATGGGAAAATATATTTATACAAATTTCACAACCAAAGTGAAAGAATTCAATTTTCCAAACCAAAGAAAGTTTGTTTGGTCCAATCTTAATGTATTCCTTACCGCTTGCTCAAAGTCACCAGACATGCCCATCGACAGCTCACACTCATCCTCTGCCATTCCAAGTGCTTTACAAACCTCAACTCTACAGTTTGATAGTGTCTGTTCATCAGAAGATATAAAATAATGCCCAAAAATGTTTATCTGACAATGGAAAATACAAACGAGGAACAGAAGAAAGCATAATTCTGGTTCTAGATGCCAAAATAACCAACATTAACAGAAATAAAGATGCATGGAGTAATATATACTGGGAAAAACAATTATACTAATTAGGCTATGACATTTAATGACATCAATCGGATAAGTACTATTTGATAAAATAAATACTATTGTTATCTGATTGGAGAAAGCCTGCATCCTCCTTTTGAAAGCTACAGAATCGATTACCCTGAAGTTCTCTGGTGTTGATGTGTAGTCTGGCATCCCTATCGTCATTAAGCCAGAAAAGTCCAAATTTGGACAGCGCAATTTAACATATTCTGCAAGCCGAACACAACCTGAAGGATCTATCCCTGATTTTGCTGCAACAGCATCATGGGAATCAACTGATTAGTCTATCAAATTTTATAGGAGGTTAACATATAGAAAACATGATCATAAACATTAAAAAAGATTATGCATTTCGCTGGATGTGCAACATGCATAATCCCAACGGTTTTGTCAGTACGCAGGCGAGTACCCAAGTCTACATTCAGCTATATTACCATCTTGAAAGATTAACCATGACAGTTAAACACATAGTAAACTGAATGAGGGAAAAACAACTTGAAAGGGTCAAACACATCGAATTGAAGATTCAGATCTAAAATTAGAGGAATTCACTTGACTCACATGCTTCTCCACTTGTATTTACTTGTATGAAAACCTTCAGAGGGTTCCTCCCAAGGTTTGAAACTGCACGGTCAAGACAGTTTGCAATCTGTGAATTACAAAGACACAGCAAGACATTGTTTTTCTAAGTGAAGGTAATCTGATATGTTTCAGAAGTAAACACAAGATGTTCATAACTCAGCCCTGTCAGGAACCAAATAGCTAACTTTCCTTTATACACACAAAAAATTTAGAGATAAGTTCATACCACACATATTAAGTACAGATACTGGGCTAAGTTTTTACCTTCTCATTATCTACACCCTCAAACAATGCTAGATTTGGCACTCCACCTGCATTTACGGAAACAACAAACTTAGGTGAAAAAATCTAGATAAGTCATTATAATCCTTAGAACAAAATCATACTAATAAGAGCTTCACCACACAATTAACAAGCAGGAGTTAAGATTAGTTATCACAATGTTTTTTATACACAAGGCACACCCAACTCGCACACAACAAAAGCCCCTCTTCCCTAAACTCGTAGACAAATCTCACATACATACATACATACATACATACATAAATGCATAATACATAAATACATAATCTTTAGTTGGCACTATCACATTTTGAGCAACATGTGCAATAATAATCTGTCAAACCAAATAGAAATAAGCAGAATTGGGATTTCTGCTTCTTGTTTAAATGTGAAACCTTGATTTTACTCGATATTCATTAACTCACCTTGAATTTAAAAGGGAAAAATCCATCGACCCTGGTGTGTCAAATAATAAAACATAAATGAACTAGGCATAGATACTTTGATAGTTTTGGACCAGATAACAAAGCAATCAAAGCATTATCATTATCTTTCAAAATGGTATGCTCATCCACATTAAAATTTTATAAATAAATCCTAACCATAACACCCAGCTTGCAGAAGTAGTTCCACTTAAACTATATAGATAAATTACATAAAGATTGGAAATTTACCTTCAAAACTTCAAGAAATATATTTCAAATCAAGATTTTTAATATATTTAATTAACCAAAACCGAATTTTGCATTGAATCATTAAAATAAAAAGCTTGCAAAATTAATTACACTTAAACTAGTAAAAAAAAAAAGAAAATTACTTCAAAAAAAGTTGGAAAATTTACCATACCGAGAAGCGTTTTAGCCTTGTTACTCTGTAAATGCCCAATGAAATGCCACTCAATATCCTCAGGCAGCTGCCAAAACAATAATATATAAATAAATAAATGAAAACTTTTCTTCGTTTTGTAATTCGACAGAGAAACCTGAGGCGCTTTCTGGACAATTTCTTGGACGTAATTCTCGCCGAAGCAGCGGTGACCGGCGTCATAAACTTGGCGGATGAGGGAGTCGGGTTTGGTCTTCGACACGGCCACGACCCGAACCCGTCCGGGTCGCGTTCCAGCTCGCTCCGCTGCGTGTCGGACTCGAAGTAGGACCGAACGGAGGGCAGTCACAGCGGCTCCCTCCACAGCTGAAGCCGCCATTTTTGTTTTCTTAGCTTTTTTTTTTTAATTTCAGTTTGAATTTCTTTTTTAATTTTTTTATTTTTAACTGTTTTTATAAGGGCAAATTGGGAAAAAAGAAATATAAATACTTTTTTTTTTAATTATGGACAAGAAAGATTAGAAATATTGCTCAAATTGGTGGATGTGAATTAAATTAAAAATTTGCGGATCATATTAAAAATTTTCTATGAGGAAGGCAAATACGTTATATAGATTTCGTGTCCTTTTTCTTGTTCCGATCTCAAAAATCATATCATCTGTCTAAATTATTCAAAAATTATGATTTTATTTTTTATATGATAAAGTATTTTTCATATGTAATTAAAAAATATTATATAAATTTTATATTCTTGTGTTTAAATATTTAAAAATAAAATAAAATTCAACCTGAAGAAATACAAAAAATTATATTAAATGTAAGCCTAAAAAATATTAAAAGGGTAAGATTGAATTTTGCATTTCTCTCAAAATTACAAAAAGTTGCCATAAATAGTATTTTATACATGATTTTGGTAATGGGAATTGCAGCATCATTTATCAAAATTTAATTTTTGATTGTTTAATTATAATTATATAAAAAATAATAATATTTATATTATAAAAATTTTTAATTTTAATATAAAATATCCAAAAACAAAATTTTTATCTTAATTTTCGTAAAAATTAAAAATGTTATATATATATTATTTATTGAAGTAAAGAATATAATTTTGTAAGCTGACCAGTTGAAACATTAAATGATCATATGATCTGTCTTTCAGTGAATCAAAAATCAAAGGGGATTCATATGTAAATTAGTACAAACTTCAACTCTTCAAGCCAAGGCCAAATCATGAAGAACAGTATGAAATGGAAAACAAACCCCAAAAAAATGGAATTGAAATGACAGTTAGATACTAAATCACTTATTCCAACTCTTTTGAAATTGTTGGTTTTGAGGTGTCTTTAATCTATTTGTGGTGAGCTTGTTGATCCGTGATCAGTTTTCTGCTGTGTCTGGTCTGCTTGTGGTGAAGTTCCTGATCCCTGATCAGTTTTCTGGGGTGCCTGATCTGAAGGAGTGGCATTGCCATGCCTTGGCTGCCCCTTTTTATTGTACAAGAATTTAGTCCAAGTGTAGACCTCAAGAGCCAAAACAACCATAGCCAAGAGCACAAGGATTCCATTGTATGCCCATTTCCAGGTTGTGTTATCAGGTTTTAGTATCTTAATCCCTTGGTATATGTTCACTGGGATCATGACAAGCAGTGAATAGCCAAGAAAATGATGATAAACATTCCAATGCTTTCTGTATTCATCATCCTTGGTTGGCTTTAACCGAAAGGCTAACATCTGCAAGAATTTTGAAAGGAAAAAACTGATCAGATTAAGTACTAAAAAACATGTGCATTTGTGGGGGGTGGTGAAATGAAAAGGCAAGGTGTTATTTGGGTTACTTGCAAGGTAGCGAATCCGAAAATGCAGATGCCTAGAACCCTGTGTGTATAGAAGGTGTAGTATTTGGACTCATGTCCAAGAAACAGTCCAAGTCCCCAGCCAAAGCTTCCAAGAATGTAACCAAGAGCTTGGCAAGAGTAATGGAACGTAAACCACCAAGATTCCAGTCTGAATGGGTATACCCTGAAGTACCTAGCGATGATAACTCCAATAGGCATTAATGTTCCCCACCCTATGATGTTCAGAATCCCATGTATCTATCAAGCAGCAGAAGAAAAAGAATCAATCAGTGAAAGTTTGCTTCAGAGTTTGAAATCTCAATTGAATTAACTGCAGGAATATATATGAACATTAACAGGCATGAAAGATCATTTGGAAGGGCTTTTTGGAGCTTGCAGATGAAGAAACTAGCAATTTTTCATTCAGATTGCAGGCTCACAAAAGAATGAAAAAGAAAAGAACCTTCTGACAGCATTCAGAGAAACTTTTGATGCATGTCGTAGTAGCAAACACAATGATAATAACACATTTGCAATCTTGTGAATCTTCTTACCTTTCTTAGATGCCGACTGTTGTGTCCAATGTTCTGACATTGCCCAGAATTCAAGTCCAAAATCTCTCTGCTATCAAAATTCTGAAGAGTTTTTGAATGCATCCTAGGCTCAAAGCCTTCTGCAACATATCCAACTTGCCACACATGATTCAAGCTTGAAACGTTGTAACTTTCAGGAAGAATTACTGTGGCAGATATTGTGAAGAATCCAGTCTTGGTGACATGCTCAGCTGTCTTGTTTTGAACCCTCAAACCTATATCTGAAGGCTGGATTGAACAATACAGCTTGGTATCTTTAGTGATATTGTAGGTGTTAACAAATGGACTACTTCCATTCGGCGGCTTGATTCCTATGATCGCTCTGGTACCAACCATCTGAGGCAGATCAGGATTCACCCCCCAGGCCAGCCACCCTGCATCAGTGATCATCTTTGTGCCAATGAGAATGTTGACCTGCGTTTGGTTCTGACTGGTTCTGTAAAAGTTCCAAGCAAATTGAGCCTGTAAAGTTGTTAATTTCCTGCATCTGGTGTCGTGTCTTTCATCCATCCCTAAGTAGGCGTCGAGATGTAAGAAGTCATCACTACATTGATGGGAGGACTTGGAACTGAAAGCAGCATAGGGAAGACAGAACAAGGCCAATATGAAAATGACAGGCAGAGTAGAAGACTGCATTTTTCTGAGACGGATGATAACCCTTCCTATTTATTAAGCTATATATACACAGATTGACAAGTTAAAACTCATAAATTTGATATTCCATCATCCCTTGGTTGCTTGGGTAGGCCGCTGTAGAATCTTAATGTTAAGTATGTAGCTGTCTAAAAAACCTGAAGGATTAGTTTATCTTCAGTACAGTTTGGAGTGGACCAAAAGGTTATTCCACTGCTATTGGAGTAGTGGGATTGGGGGAATAAGCATAACCAGAACTTGAAGTTGCAAGTGATGAAGTGGCCCTTTCTTTTTCTTTTATCAGTACAGTAAATTACAGAGCTCATGTTTCATGCCTTTACATTCCATATGCTTTGCCCCTTAAACTAAGAAATCCCATCACCCTCTGCTTTAATTACACATAAGAAACAAAGAATCTGTTAGCCTTTAGCTTTTACCTTTCCTTCCATTTGTAATATTCCTAAATCTAAAGGCCAAGAAAGATTGTATGCATATGGGGGTTTTCGGAATGAATAGTGCTGTTTACTGTGCTCTCCCCTCACATTTTAACTTCCCATTTTTAGATCAAGATGGTTAGATGGAGTGTGTAAAACATTATTCTTCAAAATTGATAGTACCATTCACAAGTTTTGATGGGTGAGGTGCCACAGTCTTAAAAAGGAATTGTAAATCTTACATCGTTTATATATTAGAATGAGTTTATGTATTAGAATGAGAGTAGATATTTAAGTATTTAAATCATTATAAACTTATGATGTGTCTTTTGTGATATAAAATTATAAAACGTAATGAATCAAATCAGACAATAACTTACAGACCCAATGTATAAACAGACAATTTCTTACGTTAAGCTAGCCATGCCTTGCCCTTTGTTTACTTGCTTTTACTTTTGCTTTCCTTATTTTAACCAATCAATAGTTATGACAGGCAAATTGTACTTTTATACCTGGTGAACCTTGATCTCATTTTTACAAAGAATGATGCCGCAGGACAATGTGGGCTCTCTCAGACCTGAAACAAAATCCATATGGACTCTCACCTCTATAAATGGAATGTCATATCCTTCGCAGGATCTAGGAAGTTTGATAAACACATCTCCACCAGTGGAAACTAGCCAAATACCGGTGTTGTTTTCTGACCCAGAATTTGACCTGCTTGTATTTTGGTGTAGATTCACATGGCTTTTAGTTTCAAACTGCACCTAATTCTGGAAAAAAAATGACTTTGCAGTTCAGAAATCTTGACGATTTCAGTAGTTTCAGGTAGCGCAATCTGCGTTGAGCTTGAAAAAGCTTTGAAATCTGACTAACAAAACGAGTAAAAAGTCATGAATGGTTCATCACTTTGTTGATGCAGTCCACATGAAGAGTCAGCCTTTCCCTATGGTTCACATTTGTTTTGTATTTGAATTGATGAATGTGGACCTTTTGCAACCTTGGGCTTTGCTTTCTTAAACTTATTTTTTAATTTGAAGGCAGACCCTGCCACCAAGAGCATTCCCTATAAATACCCTTCTTCTAGTCACCCTACTCTCCATCCCAAACCTCTGTTTTAATCCTCTTCACAATCTGTCAATTCTCTCGTCTTGCAAACAATCTCCATGGAGTTCATAAAGCTACTCTTTGTATCTGTTCTTGTCGTGGTTCTAGCCCTAGGCATTGTAGCAACAGCAAATCTGGACCAACTGGATGATAATGATAATTATTCAGCAGCTGAAGAGGATGGTAATGATATTGAGACTAAACAACTTTTCATGTTAGATGAAACAGAAGGCCGCTCTCTCTTGCAAAAGAAACGAACTCGAAGACTTACTTGCAACAAGGTCCCTAGGATTTGTCATGCTAGGGGGAGTCCTGGACCTCAATGCTGCAAGAAGAAATGTGTAAACATATTGATGGACAGGCTAAATTGCGGGAAGTGTGGGAAGAAGTGCAAGTACAATGAGATATGCTGCAAAGGGAAATGTGTTAATCCATCATTCAATAGGAAACATTGTGGTGGATGCAACAACAGGTGCAGCAATGGAGAGTTGTGTGTTTTTGGGTTGTGCAATTATGCTTAGAAGAATCTTTTTGTTGAACATCAGTTGGATTTGTTTGATTTGTAAAAGCTAGATGCAGTTCATTCAATCAGAAATATTGTTCTTTTGTTTTAATAGATTCTGGCCATTTGAATCAATCTGAGATATTTTTCTGGTGATTATAAGCTGCACAAAGTGTTGGAAATGAGGATCGAACAAAGTCCTAGCCAAGAAAAAGAAATCAAAAACTGTGGCATCATGCTCTGCGGTAATGAGTAAGAGAAGCCATGCAGGCAATTACTAATCAAAACTGAAAAATGAAGGACAGATTAAACTTTCAAGTATGTAACTATCTCGAAAAAGGGTCGATGACGGTAATAAATTGTTCCAGGGCAGGGAATGCATGAACGCTTTTCAAGTTCCATCAAAATGTCAGCCTCTTACAAGAATTCTTTCCAATGAAGGATTTCAGAGATTTTTCTTCTCAGGTTTTTCCTGATAAGTCCCCGATCCACTTCAGTTTACAGTTTCCATTATGACATAGTTCACTGCCAATCATTGGTCACTGATGATCGATCATTCACCAGTACATTCAGATATCAATTATCTAATTATAAGTCAAACAACAGAAATCTGACACTGATTTTTACAGTTTAAACCAAATTCTAAAAGTAATTGGGATATTGATAAACTCCAAATTTGCTTAACTGAGAATGACATAACTACCATAACATGTCATTCATCAATATTCATATTGTCAATGGGGTTCTTAATTAAGATCCCTTGATGCAACCTGTCATTACCTTAGAACTTCCCGGAGAATAAAATCTTCGAATTATAACTTTTTTTGCAGCACTGAAATCGGCCAAGATCTGCAAAAAAAATACAATGCAGCAGAAGAGCACTGAGAGGAAATAAAAATTGTTCAGGATCATGAACACTGCCTAAAATTTGAACACATAGACTTCTGTTCCCAATATAATATTCTGCAGATGATAGAGAACGAGTGAGCATTCGATCGCGTTGTCTATGTTTGAATAAACAAGAAGTTCTTTCGATGAAACAGCAAGAACTTTTTGCTTGTGTATGAACTTTTTCAGTGCTGCAGGTACGCTTTTGAACTATGTTCCATTATATTACTATTTGTTTATCGTGGTCTAGAGTTAGAGAATGAAGACCATGCTCTCTATAATCTTTGTTTATTATTTGAATTTGGGGAAGAGAAATAAATCAAAGCTGTCCTTGACCCTGTACATAGAATAAAATCTTTTAGTTTTTATTTGTTTAATAGCAGTTGAATAATTTAGACCATTCCACTAAGAGTACTGTGTCACATGACACATACATGTTCCAGCCCTGTCAGCTATAAAAACCCCTTCTTCTCTACCAATTCCCACATCAGAGTTCTTCATTGCGTCAAAAACCAGCATAAATCATTCTTCCTCGATCTTTCTGAAACATTCATCGATGAATTCTAGAAAGCTGCTATTGAGATTCATCATGTTCCTAGCTCTAGTAGTCCTAGGTACTCATGCAATGCAAAATGCAGAACAACAAGAAGAAAAAAATGAAATAAACTATGAAGTGCATGCTACAACCAATTCCTTCAACTTGCAATCAAATGAAACTGATGATCAATCTCCTACCTTAGGTGAAGCAGGTAGATTCCTCCTGCAAAATAGGCGAGCACGTAGAATGACTTGCAGCAAGTTTCCTAGGATTTGTCGTGCTAGAGGAAGTCCGGGGCCTTACTGTTGCAAGAAGAAGTGTGTTAATGTGTTGAAGGACAGGATGAACTGTGGAATGTGTGGGAAGAAATGCAGGTACAATAAGTATGCTGCAATGGAAAATGTGTGAACCCCTGCCTTCAGTAGAAACCATTGTGGGGGGTGCAACAATAGGTGCAAAAATGGAAGCCTTTGTGTTTTTGGACTTTGCAATTATGCTTAGCAATTAGGAACATAACATTAATCTCATTAGTTCAATGATTCAAATTCCTTTTGTAAGAGAGAAGAAGATTATTGTATTACTTTGCACATTATTCTTTTCTTTAATCTACTAATATCAGTTCAAGCTTTGCTGAAATCCCATGTTCCTGGGATTAGGACAAAATGATCATTTGTTCCTAGGATTAAAGTTTATACTTCTTTAATTTTTTTCTCTAATATGTTTATATTTCATGTCAAAAAGAAATATAAATTAACCGTCTCGAATTTCACACGCACTCTTAATCCGGCCATCTTAACCAATCTAACCATCTTAATTTCGGATTAATTATGCATAGTTACACAGCTCATAATATAATTTAATAAAGGAAATTAAACACTTAAATTAGGGGGGGGAAAAAGAAAAGAAAAAACCCATTGAACAAGATGGAGAGTTGCATGTGCATGAGAATACATGTGAAGAACCATGTGATCTTAAGCGAAATTTAAGGTAAAATCCCACGGCCTTTTTATAGCCTCAGATCTGGTGTGAAGTGTGAACTGATCAGCTTTGTCACTCTTTTGTGCTTGAAGTTGAAGTAATACAAAGCTCAAAGCTGGCATTTGTTTGACCAAATATTATTTAATAACAATTTTAACAAATTAGAGGCTCAATTATGGGCTAATTTTCTTTTTTGAGTTGCATTTTTTTTATTCTTTTTCTCTTTTACCTATCTAATGGGAATATATATATATATATTGTATATAATTAATGCATCACAAACTTTGCAATAAAATGAAAAATCTTCATTTTTCTTGTTCCTCTTGTTTTTTTTGTCAAAGATTAATGTTAAAATTGAAGCTATCAACAAATATATATATATATATATATAAAATTCAAGTTACAATATACTTTAGAGTTCAATTAAATCGTATATATTTCGATAACAAAATAAAAAAAATTATATATATTATCGTATCGGCAATTTAATAAGTAAGATTGATTATAAAATTTCGAACGACAATATATCAATAATTTTATTGATATGCAAAATTAACACCAAAATTAATTTACATTAACAGAATATTGTTGCAGTGATAATATACATTAAAAAGAAAATATATCTTCCCTTTCCTCTCCTCTAACCCAAAAAAATGTGCAAGGCTAGCAACATTAAGCAATTTCCATAGATATTTTGCTTAACATTCTTTCTTTTATGTCATTGCATTTGGACAAACATTTATAAAGAAAAATAATGAAACTTTATATTATAATTTTTAAATAATCACCGCAAAACGTTGATTTTTTTTATTGTATATATAAATAAGTTATCACGAACCTCACACGGACTCTTAACCCGATCATCTTCAATTGATCCGGCCGGCCGCTTAATTTTGGAATTATTTATGCATAGTTACACATTCCGTAAACACAGTATTCGCCAGGCTTGCACCGGTGGTTGCAAGCCCCGCAATGCCTTTTGTCCATAGAAATGTAGACGCACTCTCCCCGGCAGCAAACCTGGGTGAACTTGCACTTATTCCTGCATGCACCGCAGTTATGGCTATCGGTGACCAAGTCGACGCATTTGTTGTTGCAGCAGGTGGTGTTGTTCCCACCTTGGACGTGGCAAACCTCCTGGTCCTTGTGGCAATGGTCAGCTGCCCTAGGGTTCCTAGCTTTTCCCTGAAGGAAGCGACTTACCCTTTTGGAAGGCATCGGTTTCGGTTCATGCTGCGAGGAGGGTTGGAACGTGCTTGAAGAAGAACCACCGCCATTGATGAGGTTGGAAGCAGGCTGCTTCTCTTCAGTGACCACGATGCTTTTCATGGTCAAAGTGATGGTGATGGCAAAGGTTATGGCTATAGAGACAATGATTTTGGTAAGCTCCATTTCCTTCTTGGTGCTCTTTTGGGTTCTTGAAATGGGAGTTTCTGGTTCGTTTTGTTCTTGTTCTTGCTTTGGGTAGTGAAGGAAATGGAGATCACAAGAATGGGTCTTGGATTCTTGGGGAGCTAAGCTTAGATTTGTGAAGGAAATGGGGGGCCTTGGACTTGGGTTTATAAGGGGAATAAAGGAAGGGGTTGACCAGAAGATGCGGGAAAAGAGGCAAAAGGTGGTGGGAGGGCTCTTTGGGATCAATGCATGGAGTGTGGTCGAATTCTAAAGCTTATAATTAATTAGAAAATTCCTAATCTAGGGTTTAGTTCTTAAGCAAGTCAAGTTCGAATATGGCTTGCATACATCCCGAAGTTAAATTCAATAACTGGGATAATTTTTTTTATGTTTATTTTATTATTAACCTATTTCGAATAATTAAAATATCAAATTATATTCTACATATCTTTAAAAATCATCATTGTGTTTGTTGAAAAATTTAAAAATTATCTCTTTTTTTTTTATAATTTTATTTGTTCCAAGAATTGAGACTTGAAACCTAGAACCCCAACCCAATGGGAAGTCCACCTCTAAGGGCTGTGGGGCAGTGGTCGGGTGGTTGAACCATCTCAACGAAGCCGACTCAAGGTTTACAATGAAATAATTATATTGATAATGTTTATGCGATAATTTAATTCGTCAAAATCCAATTCATAACACGTTAGTTATGAATTCATCTTTAAAAAAAAAATTATGAGTTCATGAAACTTAATTACATAATATGTATAAATTTTTAGCTACTTCATAATTAAAGACATACATCTTCGTGTATAATTATCTCCAAAAACCCTAATTTACAATATTTCAATATTGTCTTGATGCATATGTATGAACTTCTATAATTTTCTTCTTTCTTTTTTTTAAAAAAATTATTATGAATTTTATAATTGATTATTTTATTTTGTTGTAAAAGCTTGAAGCATATGCTAGTTTCTATCCTCACATGGTATCATAGAAGTCAAAAGGGCAAATTCTAGCCATCTTTTCTTCGAATCTTGACTTCTTGTAAAGCTAGCTTTAGCTTGAGCAATCTCCGTTAATGGACAGCAAAAGGTGCCCCCATATGGCTGACCTGAAGAAATTTAGCCATACTGTTAGGCAAAGCAAAGTTAGGGCTTGCCATTTGAGGAGGAGAAGAAGGAAAAACAAATAACAGACCCCAAACTTGCTGCCACTCAACGTGTTGGGGAAAGGCAAAACTTAAGCATCAAGATGTCAAGTACAATGAATTAATTTCATTAATTTTTTAATCTAATAAAAGTTAATGCAAGTTAGTTAGCAATGAAGAATCAATGCTAAGTATAAATGTTTATTGTGTAATAAGTTATTATAAATTATATTGTGAATGATACCAAACCGGTGTGCGCCAAATGGCATGATAGTGGAAAAAAATTTAAAAATATTTTTGAAATAAATTATTGAATCAAACCCATGGTGGTGCATAGTCGATTTTAGTTGGTGGAGCGATTTGCCTTGTTAATATTTCTTAACACTAAAGCTAGCTTCCTAGAGGGACTATGGTCCTTTAGGTCAATGAAGTTCGCGGTATTAACATGTCTTTGAAGCCCTTAGAAGATGAATTTTATATTAATTTTACGATTTTCCCTAGCTCCTTCTAATTGTCTTATATGAAAACATGCAAAATTTTATAAAAATTTTATATTTATTATTATTATAAAATGAACAATGGTATTTAAAAGAAATACATGATGAGTTTTCACTTTAATAAATTTGATTTTAAATATAATTATTTGGTGCAGCATGTATTTTTATGCAACGTAAACTTTTAGTTACACTTTTTTCACCTTTAACGTAATAAATGAAGTGTAACCATTGCTATTATATGTAACTTTTACAAGTTCATTTTATTCAAAATATTATAAAAATTTTATATGATGCAATTAAATAAAAAAAAACATTCGAAGATCAAATTTGTTGTAGTATTTCTTTTTTTTTGGCCTATGAATTAACTTTTCTTAGTTTTGATTAATTAATCATCACATGATAATTAACTTGCATTAGAGGTCGACAAGTACACATTGAAGTGTTTAATTAAGAATAAATAAAACACATTAATAACTTATTATAATATAATTAAAGTGATTATTTATCTAATGGCCATGTTAGGAATATTAATAAAGGAGTGTTAAATTTTTCCAAATTTCAATGCAATGTTCATCATGGCCAAATTTCCATGCCCTTTAAACATGACAAATCCCATATCTAAAGGATGGTATTAATTTGTAGAATGAAATGTGCTGACATATTACTTTAAGAGAGGAAAGACTTGGATTTGATTTTGATGCTACCCCAAATTTTTTATATATAAACTTTATACATCATAATCCCATTATGTACACATGCTAATGTTAAAATTCAATTAATGCCTCAACAATTTTAGGGAGATTTTGAAGCATATAGTTACTTCAAATTCTTTTCAATATAGAAGAAAAAAAAGAAAAATATTATGACTTTAACATAAATATATGATCAATTTTTATGCAAATCTCACTTCATTTGTGATCAGTTTTTTCTCTATGGAGTCGGAGATGAGATGGTGCTGGCTTAATAGCCCTCGATACCTAAATATCTTGTACAACTCTAAAATATTATTAAAAGGGTTTTCAAGTTAAGAGTTTGTTTCGAGATGAAGAGATTACACAGAAAAAAAAGTATTTAAATTTTAAAAAATAAGTTATTTTTTTGAATAGTAAAAAATAACTTTATGAATTCAGAGATCTCCATTGTTGATAGAAAAGAGATACCCACGATGATGTTACATTTTTTGAGAATGTGTCATATCAAACATAACAATTTGCATTTGAATATTTGATTCATTGATTCGTATATGATTCTTTTGCCGAAAAAATAGAGTTCGAATTCTTCTTTTCTCAATAATATAAAAAAAATATAACAATCTTTTTTTTCTCAAATGAAATCTCAAGAATGTGAATTACATTTCATGTATCAAATACCATTTAGATGATGCTTGGTGTCTTACCACTTGATGATTCTAATGGAATGTGATTAAGGCGATTGTTAGGTAATAAATTATTAAAAAAATAATATTATAATATTTAGTATATTTGAGAAAGTACTTGTTGAAATCTTTGAAATGAATTTCTAGAAGGTTTTTATACACGTGCCGAATAACTAAGTCCGGTCCATTATAAGAGGCTAAAGGCTCAAATGTGGCAAGAAGTGCAAAATTGGGCTAAAGGCCCAAATAATTGTTCAAAGGGCAAAGGCCCATGTGAATGAAGGGTATAAAACGGCGCGCTTTGGCGGGATCGAATTATCAAAAACGTTAATTTAAAGCAATAAACAAAAACAGAAGGAGAGCTCAGAGGCGATAGCAAATGGAGTTCAAGCCTCGAAACTACGTCGCAGAAGAACTGTCCCACGCGCTCCGTCGCACAAGCGCCGACCTCCACCCTCTCTCCTCCCCTTCTCCTCGCTCTATCCTCCGCCAGGTCCAAATTCTCTTCTCCTTTTTTTTTTTTTAAATTTTCAGTTGTTTTGAACTCCTCTCCTTTCTTATTTAATTATAGTTTTAAGAACTTATAATTGTAGGTTGATGATCACGTCGAAAGTAGCAATAGCGAGGAGTTCTTTGATCCGCTTAGAGCACCTAATTATAATGCATCGGCTGTGATCGTCGACGGACAAGATCTTGAGAGCATTTCTAGTGGAAATGACGATTCTATCCAAGTTCAAATGAAGGAGTGGACCTCGTTTAAGAGATTCTTGATGCAGAGGTTTCCTGTTTCGAAAATGATTTCAGTTTCTTCTGTAAGCACATCGCATTTTCTTAGAATTTTATATTTCAATTTGGAAATCTATGAATTTAGATTTAGGTATGGCCATGCGTTTATTTAAGTAATTATGTGAACTTAATTATTCGATGAATTGTTATTCTATATACCAGTGGCGGAGTTTAAAACTCGAGAAGAGAGTTGATATGATTGTCACTTGTTTATTAAGTAGTCAGATTAACCTTTTGGTTTCTTCATTCGTAGTTAAGTAGATAAGTGTCGAGTATATAAATCTGCTTGTGGAGTTTTTGGAATCCACAACTAGTGTATAAGATAATAGTCTTAATTCAGTATTAATATTCTTATTTATAGTTAAATTGATAATGTGGCAAGCATATGAACTTGGTTGTGGAGCTTTAAACTCCAATGGCAGTCTGGTGTTTTGGTTAAGTAATTCCCTCTCATATGTGTGTCATGGTTAGATGTTATAGCACTTGATTTTTCTATTATTTTGGTCATGACTTTGAGACATTGTTCTTCTCACAGATGTCCAATACGATTGTGAGAAGTGGAAAAGGTACTAAAGTCTCTGTTCCTTTCGGCTTGTTTTATTTATTCGTTAACTTATTGATAGTCAGATACCTTTAGGCTTTAGTAGTCAGCATGATGCTGTTACTGTATTTTGTTTTTGTTTAATTGCAATTTACTTACACTATATTCTGATTGTAGCTATTTGATGACACTAATTTGTAGCATATGAGAAATCTTCAACTAGCATGCATCTGGAAGAACTGGATGATATAGAAAAATCTTCGGAAGAGGGTGCCAAGGTTATCACACGGCAGGAATATGTATCACGATTACATGAGCTGAAAGATGAAATAAATCGTGCTTGGCACGCTGAAGATCGTGTAACATCTTTGAAGTTGTCTATAAAGGTATAATTCTCTTTTATGTTTACGAAGTTGAGTTACTTGGAAACTTATAGCAATCTGATATGAAAATTAATTAAAGGTCAAGGAATAATATTCTTTTATCTTGCTTGTATATGGAATGGGTTGCGTGGCTTTCAAATAACATTCTCCTTTCTGCAGGTTGCCAGGCTTCTAACGGATACGTCAGTTTCAAATTTTTATCCAACATTGTTCGTCCTTGCTACGGATGTATTGGACATGCTTGGGGACATGGTATGGGAACGCA